GAAAGAACCACGAATCATGTTCAGGGATTCTTACCAATAAAAGGAAAGCCTTTAGTGATAGTTACAGTAAACGAAAGTGATATGTCATTTAGCATAAAAACGAATTATATTCCATGACTTATGAAATAACGTTTATCGATTATTTAATTATTTTTATAAAGTTCAATACAGAGAAAGTATGTCCCAATTATCGCAATTACAGCAAATAATTCACTATGAATGTTTCAAATCCAGTAAATCAATACTAAAGTGAATTTAATAAAATGGTATTCCTAATAACTATGAGGATACATAGACTAAGCTGAACATGTACAACTTTGAGGTCAGTATTAGGTATTCATTAAAGAATTGATTTAATTGAAACGATTCTGACACTTCATTTTATGTATTTTATTTAGAGATCCGTTATTATTCTATTGAAGTTTAGGACCTGTTACTCTAAATCAAGAAATATGAGTGGATAGTCATAATTCTGTATTTAAGCACCCGTTATAGTAACCAAGATGTCTAAAAGTATAGGGAGAAAGTCAGTCTAAACTTACTACTAACAGCTTGGCACGGTCTGTTTTTGAATAAGGAGTGTCAATAATCGTGAGTGACAGGTCAAATAAGTTAGTATTATATATATATATCGATCCATCGACCTTTTGAACTTTTTTTGATGCAAATGTGATCGATTTGGTTCACTGCAATATGGTTCAGTGAGACCCATGTAGCTTCGTGTATGTGTTTGGGTGTAAAGTGGCGTCACCCGTAACCATTTTGTTGAAGGCACATTGATCTGCAAATCTGTCACCATTCTCTTTCCTTTTTCCCTGTTAGTCCATGTCGTCACGTGATATCTTCATACCCAGTATTGTCGATTCCGACCATGAGGTTTAGGTCTTCCATCATGATGGTCAGGATCTTTCCGTGGCACTTCTCTACAATCGTCAACAGCCTTTCATAATATTGATCTTTTTCGTCGCCGTTGCTATCGTTTGGGATTGCATAGCACCAAATAAATGTTCACACACCTAGTTCACTTTATTATCTTAAATAGAGCAAGAACAAAGATTGGTGCAGAATAATATGAATTCATTTTATTTCGTTAGGTTCACAGTTAAATTCATGAGTCAATCGAAGCTAAACTATCATTGCAGACGTAAAAACACTGGATACATGAGATTCCCATCCTGTAAAAGCTTTTCATGTTTCTTTAGACAGCATCAGTATAAATCTTTCTGTGTGCGGAATAAATTTCCTTTTTCATGATCAGAGTATAACAGCATCTCTCCTGAAGTTAACCTTCTCTGTCTAGCTTAGATCCGATGAGTCTCACTTATTCCGAGAACCGCTTGGTTGTATCTCCTCATTTCCGTAGCTACTTGTTTAGTCATCTCGTCTCTCATGTTGTTCGAACATTCTATATACCTATATTGATTATTGCTCTGGTTATCAGAATGGTCATCGACCTCATGACTTTCAAATAATCTCAGCTTTCACAAAGAGACGTCATAACTCTTCAGCTCTCAGAGTAGAGTGTAAATAGTTTAAATGAATTTTTCTGGTTACCAGCTTTTTAGCGAGGTCGTTTTCTTTGAAATGTTGCTGACCCCATTTTCAACCCTCTATCTTGGCTCAGGACCGGTAGTAATCCTACAAGGGTTACAGTGGAGTTATATATATATGAATCTGCATTTTTTAAAAACTATATTTATAATTATGCCAATTAATATTAAAATTTCTAATCAGAAGATATGATTGTAGCTTGTGTTTTGCACTCGACAAGGATTAACTGAATTTATCTGAATCAAAGATGGTATTAGGATAGAAAGATCTTGGATAACGACATTTTAGTACGAATATCCCTAGAAACTTTATGTGTATTTGACAACACAGGTACACTTAGTGTTACCAGTAAATAACTTAGATTAACCAAGTAGACTTATGACTATTAACTTGATTAACATGATTCCTAGTTTAACACTCAAGTCTATTTAATGGATCAGATTTCTAAACTTGTAAGTCAAAAGTCACAAGTATCTGACACGAAAATAAACTTAATTACTTATATATGCCTGTTAACCCTCGTGAAACATTGACCGCCGAACAGCAGTCTCCAACCGATTGTCCTAAGCTCTCCTTTACAGACGAAGAAGCTTCCATAAGGTTCTCCTATTCAAACTGTTAAATGTTTTCTCATAAACAAGGAAGTTGATGTATGATGAAAAATTTCACTTAATTGATTACTCAACAATGATCCGTAGTTTCTCAATTTCGTCGGCACATGATCACTCTGTAAGAAGTCCAGCCCATTGTTCTCGAAGTTAGGTGTCTGATGGACTTTTTTATATGGTTCAACAACATTCTGTCTAGAACTTCCTGGAAATGATAGTAGTGTGATACCTCTGTATTTCTCAAGTGGGTTTAGGAATTTCGAACTTGAATACTGTTCAGTGAATCAGAATGTTAGTTTTTTCAACACTTAAAGAACTCTTTATGTTTACAGTGTAATGATAAGTTTATTTTCTCTAGTTGAGAATACTCTTTTTGCCACGTAAATATTTTTCTCGTGAAGTATCATAATGCACAGAATTAAATAAGTCTATAGATGAGATAACGTACAATTTCCTTTATGTCCTAATACGAATGAACTGTATTTAGGTAATGTCCATCTTAGGAAACCGGTTTTCAGTCTTGATACTTTTAATATAATTACTGTTTAAACTTGCTTAGGATGATGTCCATTCTTGATCATATGTAATTGAGAACTAATCTTCATATCACAAAGCTGAAGTTTACAAATAGTGAAAGCTGAATTTTGATATATTACAAAAACACATTTTCAACCTACCATATTTGAAATAAATAAAACTTTAAGTTCCATATTTTATCTGTCCATCAAAGAACGAGAATTCTTTTTTAATTAATACAAGAATGGGAGATGAATTAAACACAAATACATCGAACAAAAACAGCAAGGCAACAACAAATGAATAAATTATACGTAACAAAATATTTACAATGTTTATTGATCGATTATGAAGTTAAGACAAGTCGCAGCAAGTTCAGTATGAGTCAGACGAGTGGGCGACTAGAATGGAATTTAGTTGGTTGGATGTTTGGTACTGAGTTTTGTTGATCGTCGTTGTTCATTGAAATACAACTTTGTATACGATTTCGGTTTATCAGTATTAGGCAGACTGCAAGATACTTTCTGACTTTTATAAAGCTGATAGACCAGATTCAGTTCAGAAATATATTTCATGCAACTGATTCCATTCACTACAATAAAAGGACAGCAATTCGGGTTTCGCCCCGCTTTATTGAATATATTCCCAAGAACCTACACCTTAGATGGTCAAAACGGCCAGATAAGACTACAACTACTAAACAGAGGATACAATTTAGATGCAATGAGTAGATTGAGAGTGATCAGTGAACAGTTCAACCCTAAAGTATTATGATTCATGGGATCCATAGTAATTAAAAGGCTTAAACCTGACCTTTGCATTAAAAAAGACTCAGTAGTTAACTTTCGATTGACTTCCTAACAACAAGGGACTAAACATCCTGACCCTTGTTCTCTAAGCAATTGTGATCACAATCTAGTGAGTTTAACTCCGATGTTTTTTTCTTTCCAAGTTTCCTAGGCTTTTGTTATATTACGTGACAATAATATATGAAATATTTTATAACAATCAACCAAAGGAACTATGAAAAGCCTGTTTCAAAAATCTAATTCTTAACCTCTTTTATAGTCCAACCAACCAACTCGTTATTGAATAACAGTTCATTTATTCAAGTTCATCATTATGTTGCTAATTGGCGATAAATAATCTGATTGGCTTTTATGTGTCTTTGTTGCTTTGTTTTAAATTATATGGTTAATAACTTCATTCAGTTTTATCAGTCTTTTATTTTTAACTTAAAATGCTCGACTAAACTAATAAGTAAGTAATTGATTTGAAACTGATCAAGATCACCTCTACAAACACTTCTTTGTGAATTCGAGTTCAATGCTAATTAACCTCTAACGAATAGCTGACTACATTATTGGGGAGTAAAGCTATTTTCCTCTCCTGTCACAGCTTATTTTATCTCCTTTTTTTATATTTCTGAGATTATTTCACCATATTAATGAGCAGCACTGACAATAACTGTCTTATTACTTGACGAGGAGTCAGTGAAACTCTTTTCAATGGTAAGACCCAATATAATCTACTTATCTTTGATTTATCAATGTACATAAACATCTTAAGAATGCTATAATCGTATCGTTTGATTTTCTCAGAATATGTGTGTCGTTATATATCCTTTCGTGTATTGTAATTGCCGTTCAAACTTTTTAAGCTTTAATTAAGCATACATTATATCAAGAGAAATGTTCTGTGAATTAACTGGGTGTGACTTACGCATTCAGACATCATAAAGTCTAAGGAAAATAATTCATCACGCGTCTTGTTGCCTAAGTCAGTAGATGATTCAGTATACTTATGATCATATTTTAAGAAATTTCTCAAGCATAAAACAAGTGAACATAACCCTCATAAGCTTCCATAATAACTAAGATGAAATTGATTATTTTTCTAAAGCAATGACAAGACACAGTATAGGGTAGATAAAATATTTTGCACCAGAATTTTGTCAATTTCAGAAAACTAACGAATTCCAGTTTTTGAAAAGTCTGGACAATTACACAATTCTAAAGTGCAACTCTTCACATTGTGAGAAAGACAGATGTTTACGTATACGACTAAGGTTAGTGAAACTCATATCCGATCAAAAATTTATTCGTTAAAATCAAACCTTTTGTTAAGATCAAGCACTGATTGGTTAATTATCTAATTCCTATAAATTTGAATAGGCTTTTCCAATTAGGGTTTGTTGATTTGCATGTATACTCGTGCCTGTGCATTTGTTTTTTTCTCTAGTTGATTGGTTAAAATCGCTATTGGTATTCACAATTCAAATATTAGGCTTGTGATTTGTATGCATTCCAACTTTGTGTACATAGTATGGCGTGTTTGATACGTACAGTTTTTCCCAGAAAGGTGGATGATTCCAATGGATTATGTTCGCCTAATGTGGATGCTAACATGCCTTTAGAAGAAATTCCAATGGAGGAGGTGAGTGTACAATTTTTAAACCTTCAGTGATAATTGTAGAAACGGTGTTAGCTTATATTATTTAATGCCATAACCATTTTCATATTGATTGGTTTTTCACTGACAATAAGACAAATGAATTAAGGAGTCCATTTGTGCTGCTAGCCCATAATAATTTCAGAATAAACTGACTACATTTTAAGATAATTTATTATTTGATTTTGACATACGGTAAGGACTTTTTTTTTTACCTAAGTCAGTTCAATAATGAATCGATATACACACAAATTTATGTACTTGTTTAGGTTCATTCTTATAATATACTTTGTCGTTTTAGCGTCAAGAGCATAAAATCATAAAGGGAATGTTTTTCACCCAGTAGAATTAAAATGATACTCTAAAGCCGATATTCAATCCTTATTTAAGTAATCAAGTAGACAGTAAAGTGAAGTTAATTAGCCAATTAACATACTTCAGAAGTTCCATTACACTTAATAGACTTGCAAAATTGTGGCGTGGATGTCTATAGTTTGGTTGGTAATCATCAACTATCATCATTTTAGCTATCGGCGGTATAATTGAACACCTTTCCGAAGAATTGTATGTACCCACTGATACATTCTATACTAATATATAGTCTATTGAAAATCTTCGGAAATTACAGGTACCCAAGAATGTGTATTTTAAAATTACTGTTTGAGTATGGTAGAACCACTGAGTGAATGGTGTGAATATCACACGTAGAGTTCTAGACTAAGAAATTCAGTCGGTAAGATTATGAATCTATATAAAAGAAGTTAGTGAGATCCCCGTTAAGAATCACTTCTTCCTCAGAATTAAAATAGAATTGTCAGCCAAATTTCTGTACCATAATTTACTACAGCTAATGTAATTAAACAGTTAATAGAATATCTTGAAGTTAATTGGATTTCATGAACCAACTTGATTTCTTCGGTAGAATGAAACTATATCAACGACCTTGGACCACTTGTTGGTTAATCGAAAAATAGTTTTTAGTTATAAAACAAACAAAAAGAAGAAAGCAATACCATTACAATGGATAAACAGTTTTGACTCGAACAATCGGCCTTTATATGTTAAATTAGTTGTCGTAAAAAAGGGCTGAGGTTAGGAGTGATAGTTGAGTTTTATGGTTAGTGGGAGAATTTCTGGTAGCCATAAAGTTGAATAATTTTTTAGATAGTTCTTTAAATTCAAAATTTTATGAACTGTTAAGTTACTTAGACAAATGCATAGATTATGTTTAAATGTTATGTACATTTCAATTCAATTTACTTTCTATTGTTTTTCCCTGAGGAAACCTGCAACTCTCACCGTCATTTCATGGATAGCTCTAATCCATTTCTATTCTTGGGTGTTTAGGTGTTCATTAATTTTAAGCGTATTGGGGATTAAATATTGGTAGATTTTACTCAGTTCTCACACAGCACTTAACAAGGTACAAGCTATCTAAAATTAAGTTTTAGATTTCATGCAAAAATGCAGGAGCTGGTATCTTCAGTTGGTTTCTTTCTTTACATTTCACTGAGCTCCAGGATAACAGTCGGTTTCGTGGAAGTTTTTGCCTTAACAACCTTTTTTTTGAGTCAAATAGGTCTTCGAGTTTAGTCCAAGCCTTTCTTCACGTTTTCTTTTTTCTGGCGCGTGATTTGTGTACCTCTGTTATAACAAATTTCCTTAAGTTAAATATGTCACATACATTTCGATTCATTCAGATATAGAACATCATCGCATTGACTGACTCTCACATACCTTAGTTTTGTCCACGTTTTGGTTTTTCTTATTCATAAAGCGAACGTATCGGCGTTTGGATGCTAGTTATATATTTGTACTGTAATACAAAGTTACGTATTAGGATAGTGAACAAGGTGGTGGTTCTTAGAAAGATGTGAGAAGTTACCAAATCCCATTATTTGTTTTTGTGCGACTAGTTAATGACAGAAGTATGACTGTCTGCTTTGTTCGATCAGCTGTTTGAGAAACTAGACACGGTTACGATAAAGTGAAACTGATGATCGTTTGTCGTTGAATACTATTTAGTTGTGATTTTAAGTAAAAATTACAAAACTTGTCGGGAAACTAGCATTTCTAATGTTAATATTTCCCGGTACTGAAGCAAAAATACGTCTTGGGACAGGTGATATGGAAGAAACCTGTCTCCAGAATTTGTTTCTGTATTTCTGTTAGTTTTAGTAACCAACAGTCCTAAATGACACGTTTTTGGTCGTGTAGAAACTTTGAAGTCTCACCATTTGTAGAGACCGGAGATTATACCGAAACAATTATATGTTTCATGATAGATGAAAGCTCTATCAGATGTTCAGTTCAACTTAGCAGTACGATATATCCTATATTTTATTACTAGAGACCCTGTTACTATCTAACCACTTTTTTGAAAGACCAATAAATCAACAGAAAATAATCTATTCATTTTTGAATGTCAACTACGGAATTAATAAAGTACTTAGAACAAAATTACAAAATTAAACATTTGGCTGTAATTGGTTATGTCATAAACAATCAGCAAACAATTTCGTTGAATAACGTAATTTTCATCAATGTTAAATGGTAAAGCCCGGATATAGACAACTCAGGATGTCGCTATTCAGGCTTTTTTGATGTTCCAGTTGAACAGGAGTGGTGAGAAGTACATATTTTTTCCGGTAATATCCTTTCAGAGCTCTTACAAAATACATTTATTAACTATACCAAGTTCTGATATAAATCACTAGTTTAGTATAGCCATCATTCTTAAAACACTGAAAACATTCTCCAGTAATTCGTCTCAACACTAAATTTACAATAAAGAATTCTAGAATGGGAATGCACCAACTTCCATTTAAAATAACACTGTTTATAAAACGTTTATATAAGTCAATCGTATAAGTGAATACTACCGTGTGAAATCATAAGATGTGGTTCTTTTGAATATTTAGTGAAAAAATATAGATTAATTGGTAGTCTTTACGTATGTGAAAGTTTTAAACTTTCAGCTTCAGGAAATACGTAGTTACAGGTTCATGTTGTTACGGTCACAAAACATTTTCTTCTCGGATATCTGAAATGATCGATTAACTGATAGAAGCAGTGACCAGTTGAGTTCAACCGGGTCAGTTGTGAGATAGTAACTCACTGACGACATTGGTGGAAGCATCGTTCAGTTTCATGGATTAGTTGAAGCTAGACATTAACACCATTGGATGCCGACTCAGTGGTCTAGGGGTTAAGAGCAAGCGCGCGAGAACGATAGGTCTTGGGTTTGAATCCCACGAGGCGGAGTCGTGGACGCTCACTGCTCAGTAGTCCCACAGTAGGACGAAACGGCCGTCCAGTGCTTCTAGGTTTTCCATGGTGGTCTAACTTCAATTGACTGATGACCTAAACTATTGGAATTACTACAATCTCCACGTAACTCCTTCTGATAACTGATAATTGTTTACCAAGTATCTTGGATATATCATGGAAATCCTTCTGACTGCACACAAAGTAAATAACTACGATTTTAAGTATTATTACTGTAAAAGATTAAACATATATTTTTCAAGTTTCTGTTAGGTTTGTTTTTGATAAATTGTATCACTTTTGAGGAGCGAAATCGGCAGTAATCTGATGTAACAAAGTTAATCTCAAATTCTCACTTGTATTACATAGAAATCCATCGTTTTCAACACACATTCACGATTGTTAACTCATTAGTAGTGATCAACAAAGTCAATAGTTGTCAGCTACTTTCATTGCATGTCACTTTCTTAGAGTGCATGAAACTGCTTTAAAGTCTCGAAAACCATATTCTCATTCTTTCATGGTAGCTACGTAACACCACCAAACACAGATCACAAAAACAAATCCCCAGACAATGATCTATTTTCAACTTAGTCATTTGTAATCATTCGACTTATTTTTCATGTACGTTATTAACAATAATAAAATAAATGTAAATAAGGTGATAACGGTAAAACTGCAGTTTTATTATTCACATATTTGTGAAATTCATAACTATGATAAGATTGTATGGATGTGATGAGAAAACAGGTCAAACAATACAAACTTTTTAGATGGAATGACACATAAATTGAAAAATGTGTTTGTTCAGTTGACATAATTCGTAAATGTAACTGAATGATAAATGCACAAATATTATGTGATGATCATGAGCGTAGTCTGGACAAACTGAATGATGCCAAATGAGCATAGTTTTCAAATAGCAGTATTTATTTAAGTCGATCTAGTTAATGGTGTTGATTATTCGTTTAGTTGTTCGTTTGTACTTGTGTGTGACCTGACCTAATTGTAATACCACCGCCATTATGTCAATCTTGCTCGTCACAGTTTGAATATCGATTTAAAGTGAAGTACTCAAACTACTACATTTTCGACAAGGTCGAAGTGATAAAGGATCGCCTAGTAATATTTGATCATGTAGGTTGTTGGCGACTGTTTTTGAAATTTTACTTTAGTTGCCAATACTAACAAGATCATTTATTAAAAACATACCATAGTCAGGTGTTTAATAAATACTTCAATATTATTATTTCCCAAGTCTCTTTCTGCTTAACCTACTTACTTACACCTGTTACCCTTCATGGAAGAGAGTAGGCCAACGTCCCTTCTAACAACCAGAGTAACAATTAATATAGATAATTAAATGTCTGCTTAAGGTTATTTTTAATTCACTATTTCTATCCATGCTTCGTTCGGATTATTTTTCAATTTTACATTTAACTTATCATATATGTTGTGTTGGGTCAGAATTTATCTTGATATTTTTGCCTTAATTTCACTGGGATATGAGCGACCTAACAAATCAGTGTTTGGTGGTCATTTGTGTGTCGATTGACTTCAAATCATGTTTATTATGTGCCTAATATTTTACTGAAGAAAAAATCTATTTTTCTGACTGATGGTTTTGTTTTCTGATAACAGTTCAATTAAGAGCTTACTATGATAATTCAGTCTCATAGGCAGTCACTATTCGGCCAAATTGTATCGTTGCCTATTCAATTCATTCACTGTAACAAATACATTCATCGTTCAGTTATCAATTTCTTGTCCATAACCATGTTGTACAAACCATTTTCATAATCACTGATTTCTATGACAATCTTATTATATATATTTTTTCAACCCCTCAATGACGTTTTCAGTGTGTGAATGAGAATAACAAGTATTTTTCGTACTCTTTTATTCCGTCTATTTGCTTACTTCTGTTCCGGTGTTCTTTATGCTCGATCGGTTGGTGATGTTGTTTTATGTTCCGCATATGAATTGATTTTAGTGTCTAACTTCAAATTAAAAATAAAATGCCAACCAATGGATAAATTATTTTCAACCCATTCACTTTTTTCCCGAGTTTTTTCTTTGTCATTTTCCTGCAACTTGATAGAATTTTATATTATTATATGTAATACATTTAGCTTACGTTTTCTGAAAAGGTTATATCAATTATAATGACAGAAAGGCTTTTTTTAGTGCGGTCTGATAGCTCAAATGCCTATTTAACTTGAAGATCACTTTTGTTTGTCTCAATCAACAAACCGTCAATTTGATATAACGTTAATTAGATTACATCAATATCACTGTTATCTTTTAAACAGGTCTTTTTTTAAAAATAAAAAAAACATTTCACCATTTCATGTATTCATTATTTAGTAATGTGTTACTTTTGTTCTATAGATTTGTCACGAGTTTTTATGTTGTTGCTGTCCTGTCTTATTTTATTCCAGTCTGTCAGAAATATTTTAACTGAGGAACAAATATATGATGATGAATGGTCAATTAGTAGGAATAAATTATACTTTATTGTAAGTTTTTGCAAATGTTTATTTATATGAATAATGTATCGTATTTGCAAGGTAATTTCATAGAAAAAAAATCAGTTATTCAGTTTAACCAGTATTCTCTATAGCTTGCTCTGAATCAGTTATACTTTAGCTCTTTAAATAGACCAAGAAATATAGATTTATATTTGGCGGATCATTTTGTTACGTAAAATATGTAGTTTTACAAGTTGATAATTTTCAAATTCGATTTTGTGCAAACACTGCTTGCTGCTAGGTAAATAATGTTTGTAGGTGGACCGAAATTAGGTAAGTGATTGACAGTAGTAATGATCTACAATGAAATAAGAAAAAGTGGCATATCATTTCCAATATACCCATAGTATCCGGAGTATGTGATACCTGGAGCTGTATTCTGTAATTTCATGTCACATTTTTTCTTATGATTGATCTAATTCGGCAATTAGTGTTAAATGTTATCCACTAACTAACGGTACATCGTAAAGTTACTAGGATACTTTTTACTCATTATTCATAATAATATTTCGTTTGATAGAAATGAATGATTTTGAGTCGCTCGGATTGATGGCCGTATTCAACTTGAACAGTAGAATTCAGTCAGCACTAGAGGACTAGACAAACATAACAATGATCACTGCTCAGTGACCAATTGATTGTAGATATAAAACGAACTTTCAAACTACTGCTTACTGGTATTTAATGATAAACAGGTAGTATTTCGTTTTCTTTCAAAACTTTTATCAGTAGAAGCAATTCAGTAGGAACTATTTCAAATGACAGAGTTAAAACCATTGAGAAGTGGTTACCAATAGTTGATTCGATAGAATGCAGTGTGGTATAACCTAGTGTTGTAACCTCTGGACATATGATTAATGCTTCAATAGTTTGTTGCTCCAAGTTATGAAGTATTTTAAGTAGACTTGAAACATGGCTTTTCTGACCTACTTGTTTGCGTCTACTATATCCAACAACTATCTCATTGGTTCGCGAATACCCACTTTGCGATAGAACTGAAATTAATGTATTTTGATCTATAATCACTAGATGATGTTGAATTCTTTAAACTCTGTAGTCTGTAGAACTTTATGTGCGGTTCTGATATTGCTAGTACTCTATTCTTAGCTATGAGAACGTATTGTGCGTTATTGTTTCTATCATTTTGACGAGTATTTCTCATTATTCCCTTGAAGTACACAAAATAATTCCGATATTTAATGACCAGTTCTTGTTATTAATTCATTCGAAATTATCAAAATATATTTACCGATCCCTTATGCATAAACTGTTTAATTTCCACGAAAGCCATCGTAAATGTTATGGTTATTTTACCCTAATTTCTGATTCAAACTACAAAACTACCTCAATTTCGAAATATTCTCCATCCTGGTAGCTAATTACTAAGAGCGATTTTAGAGAATCTGTCAAATAAGTGAAAACTGATGTGATCATATTTTACTTATTGCCCAATCACATTCATTCCAGAACCCTAAATTAGTAATAAGTTTACTAACTGATTGTTAGTTTAAAGTGAAAGTTATACTCACTTGAAACTGGGCCATAGATTGTAAAATCTAATGTGAAAATTGTGCAAATAGTTTTCTAACTATTTTCTTCCTTTCTCTTATTGACTGTGGTTGAACAATGAAAGTTTCTGAACTTGATTAGAAAACACATTTTTATAGGGGTACTATATTTGAATGAGGATTTCATTAAGTGTGGATATATGCAGAAAGACTATTAACTATGAAGAAGCGCTAGTTAATTGCCTCATTGTACTACTAAAAATCGGTTTTTCGATAGCAGATAAAGCCTTGAAATTTCATCGCAATCTTCAAGGCTGGAAACTCGTTTTTTGTAAAAGATTACTCAACAATACAATCAACTTACATTCCAGTAACCGCTGAGCTAACAGAAATGTGGTGCGGTAGGTTGGTTTAAAAAATTAATAATTATTATTAATTAATAATTAATTTATTATTAATTATTATAATAAAAATGCGTCCCACTAATATAACCGTTATAATCATCTCTAAAGCCAAAAAATATCTCATTTCTCCACGCAGTTTGTGCTGATGAAAATGTTTAGAAAGACGGCTAAAGCTTCCTGTCTAAATCACCTAGCACAGAGAACTAAAAAATATAAACTGGTAATTTAGAATTTTTTATGTATATTTATGGCTTTGTCAAAGTAAATGGCATCATTAAACCCAATTAACAAGGAGGAATAAGTTTCTATAATTGGTATACTAAACAGCTGAATCTTTTTTAACTAAATATCTGGTCTAATATCTGATAGATTTTAGAGTATAACTAATCAGTTCTCAAAACCCTTATCAATTAGATTTATGAGTCCATAACCTGTTTAGTTCAAAAAAGAATTCATACAACAAAATTTACTTTGTATTGCTGTTACACTGTTTTAAGCTCATCTCTTTCACATAACAGTAACAATTAGTTAGATTCCATGAACAATATCACGATCAAGTTTTTAAAGAATAGATGAAATGTGACTATAAAACTTGTAATATAGTGGCTATATCAAAACAATTCACACAGGATACATATACGCCAACTAAAACTGGTCAAAATTCATTTAAAAATACCCATTACAAGTTGAATGACCAATACCATATTTTGATTGTTTCTATAGAATCCACAACCTTTATTGATGAATATTTGTCATACATTATCCAAAAGGGTGCCTAACATAATAATAAATACTTATAATGATGTGAATGCACTATGAGTGACATAATTTCATAAAGTTAAACTCATTTTTAGAAGTAAAAAAATTAAGGAAACGAGAGATTTATCGGTCAAATATAACTTAATTATTTGATTGACATATACACATGAATGTATACTATCCAGGATTTCGCTAATCGTCTACTGTTGTTCACACATTTATTTAAATTTTTTATGTTAACATTATTGTTCAGTAGGTATTAAGAGGTGTTTTAAACTTGAGTACAGCCCTTTTTAGGTCTATTGAACAAAACTCATATAACATGTACCGCTAGATAAATTCACTTCATTGTATGGTGGTATGTTTTCTCGATTAGAAAAGGATGAGTCAAAGTTCGCTCCATAACAGTGTGAGTAAATAAACATAAGAACTCAGATATTCTTTAACTAATACAATGAATTTGTGAGTTCTTACTCCCTTCGAAACATTATCAATCAGCTTCACTGAATTCTATTCACATTATTTACATTTCAATGCCAGTACATTCCTCTGAGTTAGTTGATAGTTGAAAACCCAATGGATCACATGTGGTCTCAGTCTTTTAATAACAGATACACATGTATATGAAGATTTTTATGAGTAAGTGAATTATTAACATAGAAAAGGTCACTGTCTATATGTTTCTGATAGATTGGTAATCTATGAATATACATCGTATGTATACACTATTATTTGGCTTTTGGAACTAAGGCAGCCCACATAGCCTCAGTCTTTTTTCTCTGATTAGTTAATTGATCTAAAATTAATTGACTAATGTCGAACCTATATTTTGATACTAGACACGCTGTAATATCTAAATGGATTTCGATTGGTATGATACTTGTCATATTTTCTTGTAAAAGAAACCTGAGTTAGTTATTTTAACACAAAATATTCTTATGAATACATGTACTTTTATGAATTTTTTCAAGATCTCGACTGTGGATATTATTCATAGGAATTTTTCTTTTGTAAATTTTCATGTCAGTTAGGAAGAATAAAGGAAACACAGAATGTTTTTCTTTCGTATGTAATTTTCATTAGCTAGTTATCAAGATAAAAGTTGGCGACCGACAATTTCACTTAAAGTTATGGGTGGGAATTATCTTCCAAATAGTATTCATGATTTAAGCAAAGTTCCTATTAGACATCTGAAAAGTTCACTATTAAAAGTGTATATTCCTCCTGTTATTACTTCCACATTTTAATTTATTTGTGTTCTTCATTAGTTGGATTCATGAGTTGATCTTAGCTCGACAACCATTAAAAACCTGGAAGCACTGTACAGCCGTTTCGTCCTAGTATGGGATCCATCAGGAGTGCGCATACACGGTCTCGTATGCGGGACTTGAACCCTCATTCTGATAATAATTATCATGTGCTCACTAGTGACTAGCTTCAAGATGGATTTCCTGGAATTCCAGTGAAAAGCCGTGACCACTGGAGTCCAATCTATGCCGGGTAGATAGGTATCTACCTCGCACAATGGATGAATGATTGCGAAAGATCATGGATCGATTGAACACCGTTGGATCCCGGTTCAGTGGTCTAGAGAATAAGTGTTCACTCGCGAGATCGAGAATCCTGAGTTCGAGTCCCGTATGCAGGATCGTAGATGCGCACTTTTGAAGAGTCCCATACTAGGACGAAACGGCTATACAGTGCTTCTGGGTTTTCATTGGTGGTCTAGCTTAGATCGAATCGTGGATTCAACTATTAGAAAATTATTTGGATTAGTTTTTTTATTGAAATATATTTTTTGGGTTGATCTGCCCTAATGCTTCCAAATATTTTAGTACTATTTGTTATGAATGAAATTTGATCACAGAGAAACAATGAAAAAGCCCATGGTTTTTTAATATTTTTGCTGTAATTATTTTCAAATCCAGGTCCAATTTTCTGTATCTGATTCGAATAAGATGGAACGTATCCTTGACAGACTAGCGTATTTCAATATTGGAAAAACACTTGACTCGTCAATTATGTAAGTGATTGTAATTGGTTTGCATTACTTTAATCTCTTTATACTGAATCCATGTAGAAAGCTTGTAGCTCAGGTGGAATTTTCTAGTATTATGTTGGATTCTCTGAGCGGGACAGTATCATCAGCTCTTATTTCACATAGTAGTAGTCATGTTGAATATTCCACAAGTATCAAGTCGTAGGTTTGTTCTGATGACATCGTATCCGACTTTTGTCTTCAGAGCTTCTCTTATTTTCATGTTTTATTTTGTTTTCATTAGCTGTTTTGTTCTATCGGCCACTTATCAAATGCATAATGAAGTGACATTTGATGATGCTACCCAGAATAACAAAGCTTCACAATTAAGCCATCCGGTCCAGAGAACTTATATATATATATATATATATATATATATATATACATATATATATATATATATGGGGTGACTAGTTCTGCTTCATACATAATTCCGGTGTGAAACTGTTTTTGGATGTTGTTAACAGGCTGTACTAAAATGTATAATGTTTATTCAACTAATTATAACAATGGATCCAAGAGAAAATTTATCTTCGATATTTTGTTATTCTATTTTAGGGTTACAGAGCCCACGATAAATGTTCAAAAGCGTAATAAGTAAGTAGTATATAGGCTTCTATTTCACTTAATTGATCATATGTAATAAAAATTACTGAGGGATTTTCGAATATTTGGTGTTGATGTAGCGTTCATACTACTAATCTCAATGACCGATGACGAATGAAATGAGAACTCTAATCGTAGTATTATTGAATATATGTTTAAATAATTTAAATCACCAGTGTGTACAATGATAGAAAACAAAACCGATTTATAATAAGAAGGAATAGGAATTGAAATGGACTGTAACTGGAGTAGTATTAGAATGACACTAGAATTTGATCGATCTTTAATTGTATAGGAATCGTATTAGGAGGACTACTAATTACATTGGATGGAGTGAATTAACCTGGAATTGTGACAGACTAGTATGATCGGAAATGAACTCAAGTGTGCCAAAATAAACTGATTTGCGTCCCGTAATAAAAATGTATCTAAAATACATTTGCTACAGAAAAATGATCCAATAAGATAGAAAAATAAAGATACGATAGAAAGGTATGCGGATAAGGTTTCAGGATTAGTAATAAAAGTGGTTACAGGAAAACTGCCAATAGAAATGAATTAAAAAATTTGATAGTCACATGATTGACGTAGTCTTATGTAGTTCAAGCGCATAAGCTAGTTATATACGAAGATCCTTAGAATACACCCCTTGCTGAATCATTAGTAAAATGAGAGTGACCCGGATAGCAGTTCAGTTTGAACAAGAAAGAGATCTGCGTCTATAAGCCCATTGTAACTTAACTGAAAACGCTTGCATTCTATTTATTTTGTGCACCAAATTAGAGATCGAATACTTGATTAAACAAGTCGACAATGGGAATGGACTCATTATTCTTTGATCCAAATCAATAATTTACTGAAAAAATATTCAGGTCTAATTTCATGTTTTATTTGCATGATGTTGAGCCACTCGAAAATAAGGATCTGGGCCTTCGTTTTTTTGGCAACTGCTTGTAGTCGTATGATTATAGCAACTCACGTGCAATTGAGTTTGTTCTCATTTAACCCAGTTAAGCGCTTTTGTTAATTTATTCAGCGGACAAAGTCATCCGTACTATGACAACTTATTGTACCTTTATTATTGTTGTGCTTGCATGAAATATGTATGCTTAAACATTGCTTACCGCCTACGCATATATTCATGCTGCTAGCTTTATTATTAGCTGCTTAGTTGATTCGAAGATCCATTCATTTCCCTATATATATATACATGTACATTTACACACTACTCTCTCGGCTCGCTGACTCATTCATTTGCCTCACGGCTTTGTGGTCTGAGTTATCTGCTAATAAAACTGTAGTCGCTGCTCTCTTTACCTTCTGATTTCAAACACCGTTGAGAATTATATGCTAACGGTTACGAGGGTGATTGGTCAACGAAGCACAGCCACTACATGATTCTTACATTCAAGAAATAAAATAATCAAATCATCAAAACGAAGTGTACATTATAAATCTTTTAATGAAGCATAGCATCTTTAAAGTCAAATTAATCTCATACCTGACTTTTAACTGTATAATCAGCTATATATTGAATTGTTGAGATCATGAGTCAATTGAAGCTAGATCACCATGGAAAACCTGGAAACACTGGAAGGCCGTTTCGTCCTATTGTGGGACTCCTCAGCAGCGCTCATCCACGACTCCGCCTCGTGGGATTCGAACCCAGGGCGCATCATTCTCGAGCGCTTGCTCTTAACCCCTAGACCACTGAGTCGGCATCCAATGGTGTTAATGTCTAACTCCAACTAATCCACGAAATTGAGTGACATCCACCATTGTCATCAGTGAGTTACTATCTCACAATTGATTCGGTTGAACTCAACTAGTCATTGCCCACTAGAACTCCAGGATATACATCTTGAAGCCAGTCACTAGTGAGCATATATTGATTAGTATCAGAAGGGGTTTTGTGGAGATTTTATTAATTTCATGATCTCAACAACTGAAATTACTAAAATCTCCACAAAACCTCCTCTAGTACTAATTATATATTGCTTTGAATTTATCAGATTATTTGTACATAAATAAGATCAGTTGTACACAAGTGTTTTATTTTTAAAATAATGTATCAATATGAACTTTTCAGAGTATGCAGCATTTAGTCTGATTGAATTTGTATATGGAAATAGACGTTGTTGACTATGCAATTTATGGGAACTGTTATTTACCATTTTATTACGCTGTTTAAGTTTTTGTTTAGAGGTATAAGCTACTGCTTCATCATAATTTATTGTTTAATTATTCAAATACAAATTAAATACAATCAGTAATGTACATTGACACTATTAATGTGATTTGACAAATGAATTGATGTTTTTTTTTTATAACACCAGTTAATAAAGCGTCACAAACTATGGAGTGAAAGGCATGAATAAAGATAATAATAAGTGATTAGTGTATGGCTAAATGGCTAAATCTAATAGGGTGAATAATTAAACCAAATATATTTCAGATCAAATTGTGGAAATTAAAACGTCTTATGATGCAGTTTTATTAATGTGTGTTGCATAACCCCAGAGACTCATTACTCTTGCTATCTGACACATTTATACGTTAAGAAAAAAAAGTAAACAGTGATAAGTCAAGCATAATTTCAAGTTTCATAAAATTGGCATTAAACTATCTGAATATTTACTCGTTTTCCTTAATGTTTATGGTACTAATAGTTATGTTCCGATAAGAATAATGAGTGGTAATTTTTGGGATCCATTTATGGACCAATACTATGCTTAAATTTTTAACGTATAATTGTTCATTAACTCATCTATTCATATTCATGTCTCTCTTATCATAAACTTTATTTTAACCTATGAACTGTTATTATACTATTTTCCATTCTTGAATTATTCCTTGTCTGTTAATCACTACCTCCCACATTTGGCCAAATCTTGTAAAAATGTTGTTTCCTATTTTATGGTACGATGTGGTCTGTTTGATTAGTACATAAACCCCGTATGTTTGAAATAAATGATTCATATTACAGAGGCTGAGATTGGTGTTCTAGAATTAACTGGCTGGGCTAGGCGGAAAACAGGACCAATCAAGGCTCTAGACTGCTCATACGGGCTTACGCGTCATAGGTCCGATCGATAAGTCACTGATCTCTAATTCGTGGTATCGTTACGTTATACATTAACAGGGCACACAGCACACAAGTTATAACACTAATATGAGTAAAGTTATAAAAAGTTTAAACTAAATACTTATTTTGATAAATTTGGATGATACAGTGAGAAGACGAACTTGATCTTTATCTCATTGACCTATTTATTTTTTCATAATGAGGACCTTGGTTTTCCCCTTGTGTATGCTGAGGCCTACTGATGTAGAGACTGCTTCTACACTGGCTGTCTTTATCTGCATTTGTGTATGTGTATGTGATAGGAGGGCTAGGTCATCTACGAAGTCCAAATCGTCTCATTGGTTCTGAGCTGTCCATTGTATGCCGTGTTTTCCCTCAGATGTCGAGGTCTTCATAATCCAGTCAACCACCAGAAGAAAGAGGAAGGGAGAGAGTAGACAGCCTTGTCTGACTCCGGTCCTTACTTGGAATGCATCTGTCAGCTGTCCTCCATGCACGACCTTGCACTGTAATCCGTCGTATGAGTTCCGGATAATATTGACAATCTTCTCAGAAACTCCTTAGTGTCGAAGAAGTTTCCATAACGTTCTCCTATCTACATTGTCAAATGCCTTTTCATAATCAATGAAGTTGATGCATAGTGATGAGTTCCACTCAATTGATTGTTCGACGATGATCCGTAGTGTCGCAATTTGGTCCGGTCCTTACGGAATCCAGCCTGTTGATCTCGAAGTTGGGCGTCTACTGCGTCTTTCATCCTGTTCAGCAACACTCTGTTAAGACCTCCCCTGGTATTGACAGTAGTGTAATGCCACTGTAGTTTTCACATTTGCCCAGATCTCCTTTCTTTGGAATCTTGATGAGGTGTCCTTCTTTCCAGTCCATTGGCACTTGTTCCTCCTCCCAAATCAGTGTGAATAGAAGGTGAAGCATATTTGTAGTTACTTCGATGTCTGACTTCAGTGCTTCAGCTGGCATGTTGTCGGGTCCTGCTGCTTTCCATCTCTTGATTTGTCTAATGCCCGTCCTGATTTCTTAGATTGTTTGTGGAGTAACAACTATAGGAAGGTCTTTGCGTGCTGCTTCGATGTCCGGTGAATTCATTGGAGCCGGCCTATTCAGGAGTTCCTCAAAGTACTCTACCCATCTGTTCCACTGTTGTTGAATTTCAGTTATTGGCCTGCCTTCTTTGTCCTTGACCGGTCCCTCTGGTTTACTATATTTCCCTGCTAGTTTCTTCGTTGTATCGTAAAGCTGTTTCACATTTCTTTCACTTGCAGCTTTTTCCACTGTCGTTGCTAGTTCTTCCACTCGTTTCTTGTCGGCTTTAATGCTCTTCTTCACTTGCTTGTTTGCTCCTATATATTCAGCTTGTGCTTGGACTTTTTCTGCTCGTGTTCGGTTGTTGTTAATTGCTGCCTTCTTGTTCTTCCTTTCTTTGATCCTGTCCAGTGTTTCTATAGAGATCCATTCCTTATGATGATGCTTCTTGAGGCCCAGAACCTCCTGACACGTTGAAGTTAATGCTTCTTTGATACCTTTCCAGTTGTCCTCCATAGTAGTTTCTTCTTCCTTCAGTAGATCGTGTAAGGCTTGGAACCTGTTGTTGAGAGCTATCTTGAATTCATTGAGTTTGTCAGTATCTCGAAGGAAGGCTGTATTGAACCTTTGTAATACTGTTTGTTCAGTCGTCCAGTTCTTCTTTAGCTTCAGTTTTAAATTGGCCACAACTAGGTGGTGATCTGAAGCTATGTCAGCTCCTCTCTTGGTTCTCACATCTTCCGTTGTCCTTCGGAATTTTTTGTTGATGCAAATATGATCTATCTGGTTTTCTCTAGTGTGGTCCGATGAGATCCATGTAGCTTTGTGTATACGATTGTGTGGAAATATTGTGCCACCTATGACCAATTTGTTGAATGCACACAGATTTTCAAATCTTTCTCCATTTTCGTTTCTCTCTCCCAGTCCATGTCGTCCCACAATATCTTCATATCCAGTGTTGTCTATTCCGACTTTGGCGTTTAGATCTCCCATCAGAATGGTGAGGTCCTTTCTTGGGCACTTCTCTATGATTGACTGCAGCCGCTCATAGAATTGGTCTTTAATGTCGTCATTGCTATCATTGGTGGGTGCATAACATTGGATAATATTCATTGTGATCCCCTCCTTCTTTGTTTTGAATGATGCTTTGATGATTCTGGATCCGTGAGTTTCCCATCTTACAAGTGTATTTCGTGCTACTCTGGACATCATTAGAGCAACTCCCTGGGTGTGTGGATCATTTTCCTCTTCGTGGCCGGAGTATAGCAGTAGCTCTCCCGTATTTAGCCTTTGTTGTCCAGCTTGAGTCCAATGGGTTTCGCCGATTCCCGGTACTGTCAATTTGTATCTCCTCATTTCTGTTGCTATTTGACTGGTCTTCTCGGTCTCCCACATTGTTTGGACGTTCCATGTACCTATAAAAATTGTTGCTCTGGTTGTTAGAAGGGGCATCGGCCTCGTGATTTCCGAAGGAACTCGGCTTTCACCATGAGGCATCATAGTTCTTCTAAGTGAAGACCTTCTAACTTTCAGGGCAGAGTTTAAATGGTTTGAACTATTTTTTCTGATTATAGTTTTTTAGCGGGTTAGTTTTCTACAGGATGGGGTCGCTAACCCCATGCCCAACCCTCCTCCTTTACCCGGGCTTGGAACCGGCAGTAACTCTAGAAGAACTACACGTGGAGTTGTTCTAAGTTTTCTACTCATTGGGATATTACAAATATATTATTTTATTCATACAGTAAACACTTCATTTGCAAAATGTCAATCAGTCGTCACAGACTTGATTGTTTCTTTGTTTCCACACCAATCATTGACTGTTCTCGTTCTCTTCTCTTCGATCTTCCTAACCTTCGGCCTACAGACGCCTCTTATTTCGATTGATGATACATACTACTTATATCTGCCGACTTCAGAAGCACACACCACATTATCTTTTCATTCATGTTTAACAACCTTTTAGAATTACCATTTGTATGCTGACGACTATATGTTGCTGTCAAAGTGGGAGGGTAATTTTTTCTAAAGTGATGTCATACCATTTTTCACTTGATTCAAAAAAGTATAATTCCCTCGCACATGACTTAGAATTTGAATTATAATTCATTATTAATAAGACACTTCATCATTGACGCATATTCCTTGGATTACAATGATGTATCCTAATGTTAATATTTTGAGCGTTATTTACTTATGTATTCAAATTAATTTATCATTTATTTTCTCGGAATTATTGACCAATGCTAGCGTAAGTCATAAATTAGATTTCATTTAGAGAACAAATACTAAATCAGAAATCATACTGATTTTATGAGAAGCGTCATTTATTGACCTGGTAAACCTTTATTTGTTAAGGTAGGGGTTTTGTAAAGATTGTTCATTTTGAAGTTAGTTCCTACTAGGAATTAATAACAGCTCTAAGAACCGCTGGACTGCGGGTATTTTTGAACAGCGCTTTCTTCCTATTTCGTGATTCAACAGTAAAAGTAATGCGCGTTCATCACCTCTAACCGAAGTATCTTCATTCAATCATTTATTGAAATAATAACTACCTACGCATTAGTAACTAGGTTCGAGAAGAACTTCTGAGGTGCCATTGATGGGTCATAACAAACTTAATCCAGCTGGATGAAGAGTGAGACATATTATGATATGTATTTTGACTTAGTAGTTTATAGGTATCGTGCTCACTACCAAGAAGGTCAAGAATTCCTTGATTCGATCCGTGATGTATGAATGCTGATGATTACTTTCAAACTAGGACTGGGTGGCTGTTTAGTGCACTTTGGTTTTTCTGAGTTCCCATAAAATTTCAGTCTACAATCAAAACTAAAGTAAAATCTGCCTTTATTACAATCAGCATTCCACATAAGAGTTAACAGTGAATCTGGTCAATTAAGTAAACCAATTACTACAACAGTCTTCAGAAAGGTTCCTTGATTATTCATATTTATAAAAGTGAATTTAAAACACACTGAAACATTAGATTTTCTACTAATGCTACAAGATAACCAGTTGTTATGTTTCTAACCATGAGGTTTGACAGAAAGTCATGTTGTTCCAATTATTTAACTGAAACTTGTTGAAGGTGGTTAATGTCAACCGGCTGCTTATTGTTCATAAAGACATTTTATTGGACCTCAATCCAAATAGGTTATTCCCGTTGTTTAAACAAAGGAAGAATTCAGCATGCTAAAGCCTGCTTCGTCCCTAAGGTCCAGACGTCCTAGCTGGCCTTACACAATACCCTTAATCACTAGTTGGTGATATAGGGTAACTTGAGTCAAAGTTGGTTACTGTGGTACAGTTGTACTCATTCTCTATTTTCTTCAAAAGCTTGAATCAATTGACATCTCCAACTTCCCATCCTTTCATCCGGTTCGTTCATTTTAAACTATATTTCTTATGGCTAGACTTCTGTTAGGGTTGATAATATCTCCCAGTACTTTATTTTCATCCCATTTTGGAAATTTTCTCCCTCTCTATTGATGTGAGGTGCTGAAGCATTTTGGGCAAGTCAGCATTTATACCAGATTTTAAATTACTAATCACTGATTATGCAAACCTAAATAGTCCATGTATTGCAAAAAGTTTTACTAAACTAGAACATAAATTGATAAGAGATTTACTCATTGTGAACATTAAGTTCTTCTCTTTAGGCAACTTGAAGAAAGCATGTCTATTTCCCTACTTCTTTTAATGTTTATAAATTTGGTTGTCATTCTATCAGTTTACCTGAACTATTCAGTAGTAACAATAGTGGTAATGTGGTGTGTGCTAATTATATCGACGTAAGTAGTATGTGATGTTAGCCGTGAACAGAAGGTCTGGCAGCAGGGAAACAAGAGGGTCGAACAGTAAAGAATCGAAACAGGATGCAATTTGTATGGAAATGCAAGAACAATGAAGTCTGAGTCATTTTGAGACAATCGATAGACATTTTGCAAATTAAGCATTTACTTTATGATTGTTAGATTTTATTAACAAGTCCTGTAATTTTGTGTTAAATACATTCGATTGTACTACATTGGTGTTCTTGTTCACTATAATAAAAGCATCAATGTTCTTACACTCCTTGTATCAGATTATTATTGTCTTAAATTATCTGTCTTATCAAAATTATTTATCTCCTTTCATTTTCAGAGGAGAAAAATCCGGTGTTATATCATATTCGGCAATTCAAAACTTTATTGGAACTCTGAAATCACGATTGTGTGTTGCTCAGGTATACCACTTTTTTAATCAAGTTACTGTTTCTATTTTGTGAATATGAGTTCTTTGCAAAAAAAATGTATCAAAAATATAATCGGAATTATTAAATTTGAGTTATTTGTTTATTTTTCTTACCAATTCACTCACCTTTCATTCTTAAAACTCTTCTCTCATTATATTTGTAGTTTTATTCAGCTCTTTATGTGGGTTGTGTTGTTTTCGTTTTGTTGGTTTATCTAGAATTAGAACTGTCATGAGATGATCGTTAGTTCAGGAGTAATTAGCAAATTACACTGAAAACATCTTATATTCACAATTGATTGGTCACTGGGTGGTGATCAATGTCATGTGTCAAGTCCTTCTTAGTGCAGATCGAATGCTATCGACCAAGTTGCAATGTGGCCACTAGTCTAGGTGACTTGACACTGCATGCACTATGTTGAGATAAGATGGTGATTGAAGGTAGTCAACAGGAAACCCGGGTACAGGGTTTCCTGTTGACTACCTTCAATCACTATCACATCTTATATTATTATACGTTTAGTAAATTAATTAATTGTCTAATAATTATTATGCATAGGTTACAAGTCAGAAATTTCGTTTGTAAATTAAACGTGAATATATCATATAACTGAAAGGATATATATTTGATTTGATGCCAAATAAACTATGTATACAGTTTTAGAATTTCTGAGGATATTTGTGGTAAGAGAAACAATTATAAATGATTACTGTTAAGTGCACAAGTGTTAGAGCTCGATGGTAAATCAAGTTGATTATAACCAGTATTGTAACATATAACAACACGTAGTCAGTAATCCAGTAAGTGGCTGGATTGTCTATTCTGACTATGACACTTATCTACAAATGTTTCTCTGGATATCTGGATAAGTATTTAGATTTCATTCTCCAAGAAACAGTAGAAATGAAATCATGCACAAATGTAAATGTTTGATTACTCTTTATTTCAAATGAGAATACGTTATAAATAAAAGTGAATATGAAATTTATAATATCATAGTTGTTATTATTAAGGCAAACTGAAGAATATTCTTTCCTATCGGTTCATAGTAGTGACATATTTTTTATATGCATTATTGATTATTCGTAAAATAATTGTGGAGTTTATAGGAAACTTCCTTATTTAAGTAGTGTACTGCAAAACACTAATTGTCGCTTTTCATCATGGAATGTTTATAATTCAAAAGTGTTGGTAGCAATTCTTTTACTTGAATTAAATTTCACTCTGGGCTGGATAAATTTCAGACTGTTACTGATTTTCATCTTATCGAACTAATTAACACTTATTTTCCCTCAAATTCGTCTTTCTTGGTAGATTATGTTATTCTTTTCAAGCTTATGTATCTTTTATAGTTCACATGACGAATTCATCATGAATAAACAAACATTGAAATCCAGAAAGCATTGGATGACCATTTCGTCCTAATACAGACGCATCCACGACATCAAAACATTCAGATCTCGCGACGAACGCCTAACCATGCGATCACTGGGTCGACATCCAGTGGTGTACATGTTTAGCTTCAATAGATTCGTAATAAAGCGCAACCATCTTACAATGTCATTGATATGTAACTGCATCACACTTGACATGGCTGAGCTTCACTATTTACGGCTCCTCACTAAAACCCCAGGAACTACCCCTGGAAATTAGCCACTAGTGAACAAACCACTACTAGTTACCGTAGAGGGGTTGCGACGATTGTTGAATTTTTTAGGTTACATCACGGACTGATTCTAGTTGCTCATCTTATTTTATGTAAAATTGTTTGTTTACACAATGTGAATGCTATGAAATTATTATATTTGCCACACATATTTCATTACTTATAAACAGAGACTATTAAGGAGTTAATGAATTAAATGGTGGGTAAAAATCAACACCATTATTCACTAATCACCCATAGGGCCGAATAACTTAGTATTTTTTTTACAACGTGCTCAGCTTTGTCTATTCAAAAGAGGCTTAACGAAATTGTGGAAGGATTTGTCTCACGAGTGTCGATCGTCTTTTTCAAGGTCAAGACATACATAACCATATTCCGTGTAAGGTGTTAGAATCAGTTTTACAGAACTACAAATGATATTGTTAAAACGTCCATTGATACTTGATATACCATCTTTTGTTCGATTTAAAATTATCGCCACTCAGACCATAGATAATACACATACCTGTCCGATTAAGAACACTTTCACATAACACTATCTAATTATTCATTAGATAAGAGAAGCTTTTAGAAGAAACAGCAAAAAAATTTGTCTTAACCGACGTACTTTTTTTTATTATCCCGTAGTTAATAACAATTTCCTTCAGAAATGTTTTTGTTTTTCTCGATGACCTCATCCGTTAGTCTTTACTTTAACCCATATCTAAAATTAGTATTATCTGTTATGGATTAATGTCCATTGATTTATCCGTTGTGAATTAATGTATGCGGTAGTTTCCATATCGCTTTGTGTCCATGTTGTGTTTGAACAAAAAATATATTTGTCTGAGTAACTAAAGGATTTATGTTCTTCACTCTTTATTCTTTAGTTTAAAAATGATAATAAACGGTCTTTTCGATGTACAATAATAATTATGGAGTTCAGCTTGTTTATAATGTGCGATGAGTTTATTATATAATAAAACTTACTTCGGAAGAAATCATCTGCCATTGTTTGATCAACACGGTTGTGAAACATCGCAACACTTTCCGACCTACATAGAATAAAAGCACCTTAATGTATTTCGCGACTATTAATTATGAACGATTAAGCCTTTGCTTAACGAAGTGAAAAAATGTAGTTAGTTTATGTTTTTTATTCCGCAGCAAAAAGTTGATCTATTTGTATAATGGACCAGATGGCAGATAAACTATAAAATGTTATTTTTGTCCATGTTATATACATTTTCTGACTGCACCGTTTTCCTGAGGTCGATCCAGATCAAACAACTTGCATGATTTCAATTACGACTATATTCTTGACTCATTTTCATCAAAATGCTCGTTAGTATGTTATGATTTCCCGCTCTCCGTTCTTAACTGTTTATCTAAAAATTCAAGGTATTTTCATGTTTGTATACAATCAGTGAAAACCATAGTATGTGTTATCTTGAACTCTATACGTCAGAGAAATCGTTTCTTCTTCCGTCCACTAAACAATCGTCTATTAAGTGAGCTTGAGATAAAAAGTACTGACTTTGATAAGCTTGAAATCACTCACTAAACCCATTCAATTACGATAATCACTGGCAAATGGGCCTGTTTTTTCTTTTTTTCTAGGTTTACAACGAAATTAACCAACGTGGATCGTTTGATATGAATTATTTATGTTTCCTACTGTGTGCAGCTATTGTGGCAAATATAGCTCTCGTGACCAATTCTGCTGGCGTCGTATTTGCAAGTATGCTATTATCTCCTTTGATGGTAAGTATACAGGACTACTGTATAACATGACTGTATTCAGTGAAGGTTATTTGTTCTTTTTTGGGGGGATAGGGGCTAAATTTATTACATTTACAAATGTATAAAAGAACGTAATGCATAGAACGTTCGTAAAAAAATGGACTAGTTTTGTGTTTGTTAACTCTCGTTGACAGAATTAATTTCCATACTTAGGAAAATCATGGCTTCTTTCTCTGGAGTTCAGTTTACCTTCATGTGAAATTATTTGAAATGTAACAGTGCGTTCATGTAACTAAGATTTTGATCGGTTCACGTGATTCTAATTATGGCAAAGTTGTGTGGATTTTCTCTGGAGGGTGATATTCTTAGTTTCTAGTTAAATATTATTTTCCAGTGGTTGTGTTACAGTTAACATTTTTTCATTTATTGGTCATCAAATTTTAACACAGATCAAATATTTTCTCGATAGAAGTTTCATTTTGAAAATGAATAGGATTATTGGTCAAGTTAAAATGTTCTCTAAGTTTCAGTTTCATCGTCAATTTAGCTATCACATCAATGCAATTATAGATGAAATAAAAGAGATAAGTTGGTCTGGCTTTAAACTAGAATCCCAATTAAAATTTCAGCATGACTCGAAGATATTTTATTTTACCACAACAATTATAACTCCAAATTTTTAATTTTCTCTGCTGATTGATATTCGTTTGCTTATTAGTAACTCAGTATACTGTCTTCTTTTGGATCTTTAGTTTTAAAATTATCTTATACTTTTTATACCACGAACTCGCTCTTTCTTATCAAACCATAAAGTCTATGCCTAATGTTTTCCATTACTATTAATACTGTTACTACTTCTACTACTCTAACATGTATCCTGATAGTTTCGCCTATCTGTGGTGATGTGGTATGATAATTTAGACTAATGCAAATTTGTACCAGTTTCTACGTTGATTCTAACTGACTGGATCCAATATCTTTGTAGGAACCTGTTTTGAAAAGAAAGAGTTTAGGTTTATTATTTTACCAATTGGGCTCATGGATAAATTTTATACTGGCCATTTTTCAAATATCTAGGGATGGTTCACTGTGAAAATTGTACCGATTGCGTTTTAGACTAGTAGCATTGTAGAAGGACCAGCTTTTCTTTAGAGTGCACGAAATTAGCAAAATTACATAAGCTATGAGACTCAATAACAAAATATGCGTTATTAGTGAGTAGATGTGGAGAGATAGATCAGTCTGATCTCACAATGAGATACATAAGTGTAAATGGGTTTTGTTTGTGTTCGTTTATTTCGTTCTAAACTTATAATGTATTACAACGAGTTTGCTAAAACTATTGTTCACCACGGTATGAGTTTATGCTGTTTATAAGTTGACTAATTTCTGCTTTTGTTCACTATTTGTGTAGTTTACAATCCTATGAAAACAAAATCAGTGGTTTCTTGATACTTGTTCATGCAGTATTTTAACTAAATTTAGATAATTGTGTTCTCAAAAGTTTTGACATGCACATATATATATATATATAGCATTTCACAGCTTCTGTGCAACCACAAATTTACTTTGGTATATTTAAATGAAGTATTAAACAACGATTTCCAGTTAATCAAAAATCCTCTGTATCGCTGTTGATCTTCTCTTTCGTTCAGCAGAAAGTTTGGACAGCCCACTTGTATTTATGTAATACACAACTGTTACTTACTGATAAGTTACCAGTAATATCCTCAACTGTATGACTGAGGTTAAACAACAAGAAATGAAGAAATCGCTTAATTGTGTAGACTTAAGTGTGTTGAATGTCAGTGAGGTGAAAAAATAAGTACAGATTTAAATATATTTTACCTTTGACTATTATAGGTCTTTATAGTAACGTGATATCAATCTATAAAGTTTCTCGTTAATGTATTGCAAATCAATAATTATTTAGTCCACTTCAGTTACGCACTGAAGATCGTGATTTTCAATTTTGACTAAATGACATCTGTATAAAAGCTTGTTGACACCACATGTGAATGGTTACATAGCTTATTCACCTGTGAGCAGCGTAGGATATTTGCATTCAGTTAAATGGAATATTTTTAAGAAGTATTTTATTTAGATTTGCGTGGCTTCGGTATTACAAGATAATTCAACAACAAACGTCTCTTAACTGGAAATAAATGTAATCTATTTTCTTAGTATTAATATGTATGGAATACAAATTTACTCAGTCGCCATAACTGAGGAGTAATGAAGCATAGATGATATTTAACTTGGCTCGATATCAAAGCTTTCACTACAAACCCATTGTAAATTAGAAACTAAATGGAAGCTCCGTGATCGCTCAAAGTTTTATTATTTTCAAAACTTGTGTGGTCTTAAGAAAGTATACTTCACAATGAATTTTATTTTCTCAATGCCTAATGAAAATAAAAAGTCATGATTAATGACATAAATACAAATATATTCTACGTTGGTGGGAATATGTATGAATTTAGGAAATAAACTGTAAAATACCAGTAGGTACGTTATATTCAGTAAGATCGGCCTCATTTGTTCGAAGACTGTAACACACTGAACAGTTTGCTGATTCATAGGTTCGTTTCTAAAAAGCGTACATATTGTTTCACTAAACTATTTCATCAATAGAACCTATTTAACGGAAGATATGGTGAAACTTTTAATAAATGACAACTTTTTTGTGTTGAATCTTGTTTGCAACAACAACAGCCTATCAATTGTTTTCTTAACAGCGGAAAAGTTCATTTGAAATGCATAAAAGAGGGGGAGAGAGAAATTCATGACAAGAAACCGTTTTTCACTTTTTTTTCGTCTCATAAGCGTTTTCCACTTTAAAAAATATTCACTTGAATAAATAACTAGGTAAATCAGAGTCAAGTGATCAAACATACTTATGCTTAGTTACCATATTAAATTTATAACAAGTTTTCAAATCTCACTACTTGAATTCAAACACACTCTCTCATTGTATATGCTGTTTTAATTTATTCTGAAGAATAACAGAAATCAAATGACCCCTAATAAACTGAGAATCAGTCAGATGATCAGAGTTTAAAATTTTTTTTTTCTTCAAATTGTTATTAATGCCATGCAGAATTCACTGCGTTTTTGTGTTCACTCAATTGCATTATTTTATTGTTTACGCAACATGTTTATATTTTATTTTCTATTTATAATCCATAAACTGATGCTGTTACTTCTATAGTCTAGGCTGTACATTTCGTATCCGTTCTCATTTGAACCTACTTTGGTTTCCAGTAATCCAATACTACCAAAAGTCATAAGTATACGCTTCAAAGTACTTTTTTAAACTGCTACTAGAACAGCTAGAGAATCGTTATTATTATTATTATGTTTTGATTGTTTGACTGTTTTAACACTGATTGACGAGTGTAACATACAGAACGAGAAAAAAGTAGAACCTTGTGCAATTATTACTTGAGATTGTGGTTGCACACCATTTACTAGTCCCATACTGAGATGAAACAGACGTTTAATGCCTTTTGGTTTTCAATGGTCAATTATTGTTGTAAAACTCCAAAATCTTATCACTCTCCACAACCCACTATACCAGGATTATCTCGGTTCAGGCTTTCAAGCTTAAAATTGCAACAGAAAGTAAAAACAATGTTTTGACGATAACATTAAGGAAGAAAAACTAAAACAGTCAAGGGCAATAAATTAAAACACAGAGGGAAGCCTAGCTATAGCCACACGATAGTTAGAATTGTTGTTTTTCTCTTTAATTGAATGTTGGTGAAAAATGTCACTAACCAGGTTGGTAACTTAATATTTTAAATTTGGGAATTTCAAACATTATTTTTCTAAACAAACTTGATATACAAAGAGAAATTTTCAAACTGTGGACCATGGGGTCAACGAGGAAGTTATCTATATATACACTATCGTATCTTACTCTCGGTTTGCAGATGCATAATTTTACACTTTAACAAGCAAACACTAAGACATACTAAACACAATACTCTCTCCTCGCACTTATTCTCTATCAGTTTAGCTTCAGAGGAGTTTTATCTACTTTAAGTGAGAGATAGAGGTGGACTTTTCGTTGTAATCCATCTGGCATGCATAGGTAGGGAGTTTTTGAAGTTATTTCAACCTAAACGATAGCTTATCAGCTCTGCGGTTTTTAAAATCGGGTAACTGTTATCGAGCTTCTATGAGAAAGGCTTATCAATGTTAAAAGGAAGAGTAAGTTGGATTTAATGAAAATCACCTGGGACTTATTTGAAAAATTACTGTTCTTAAAAAACGAAAAAAGTTAAAAACGCAGTGAAAAATAAGTTCTTTCGGGATATTATTAAATTAGGATGACAAATAAAATGGTCGAAGAAGAGTCCTATGGTATTTTGAATCCTTTTTTTATGATGTTGGTCTTTATTTCCTTTGTTTGATTGTTAACGAAAGTTCTCGTCCAAGGAGCGTTTTAAGCATGAAGCTGAAATTTTCATTCCCCACCCCCAGGGGTCATATTCCATCCCCGGGTCTCCCATTACTTTCTCTTGAAATTATTGGTTGGAATCTGGTATATGGAAGTCTGCTATGTTTTCTTTGATAACTCACAAAATTATAGTCTCTTTCAGCTTTCCTCGTATCTGATTGTTCTTACTATGGTTAAAGAATATTAAGAATGATGTTGAACTATTCATAATCCCTGGCAAGGTCCTTCATGATACAAATTAACCCTTTTCATGTATTCTAGTAGCTTTCACTAACATGTTTAGAATAAATTTGGCAGTTTTTCTCACAATATGCTCTTTCAAAAAAATACAGGTGTACTACAGCTGACAATATGGCCGGTAAGAGTAGAGGATATCCGTAGGTTACTAGTATTTGATCATAGGTGTCTTCGAAATATTGCTCGTATATCCTGGGACCATCGAGTAAGTAATGCAGTTGTTAGGAAACGGGTACTAGGTAAGGATGGCAAATCAACTGATGACGTTGTGAAACTTCATCAGTTGAGATGGCTGGGACATGTGTTACGTATGCACAACGACCGACTGCCTCGACGTGCTATGTTCAGTGGTATAGGAGTAGGTTGGAAGAAAGCTAGAGGCGGCCAAACCAAAACATGGCACAAGTCCATGAAGTCACTGACAAGTGGACTGAGTCAGGTTCGTATGTGTAGACTACCTGGTTGGGGACTGCGAGATGATAGCAACCGATGGTTAGAGACCCTGAATGACATGGTTGAAAATCGTTTGCAATGCCACAGGTGCATCCACTCTTTGTGTTCTCCCAAATTCTAATCTTTTGAATTCTTCATGCTGCTTTTTTCCTCTTTCCAAATTTATTTCACTGGATTATACTCCTTGAATAACATCTTCAAACCCTAATTTTTCTGATTACAGCTTATAATTTTACTACATCTAGCACTACGGGATTTGAATCGACAACTGCATCTCTGTGCTAATGTGGTGTGGCAACCCGAGCTGATGTACGTACGTACGAAGTTCTACGTTGTTACTGACTGACTGACAGCTGACAATAGATATGATAAAACTACAGAATTTTTGTTCGTTAAATTTATCCCAAACATACTGTATGAACGCAATCATTTTAAAAACTATCGTATTATGTTATAAGACTGGAAAATATTCGCTGCCATAGTTTATCCAAGTAGTAGTAATTGGCCATCCATTCTGTTCACCTAAATAGCTTTTTTGAAGCAGCTTGAAATGGAATAGAGTTTAAAATGGGAAACTGTCTCATTCTTATTGATTCTTATCAGCGATTTATAATAGGACAAAATTTATAGTCACTTATTGTTGCCATTGGAGACATTGTGTAAAGACTTTAATGTTTAATTTGTTTGGTGATCAATGTAAGACTTTGAATTTTCCAGTGATTTCAGGAACGTTACATGCTACAATGTTTGTAATTTAGCCTTATGAGTTGATTGCCTAGCGTTATGTGATCTGAATGAATATATCATAACATTGTCAAGAGGTCACTCATGAAGGCTCAACTGCTCATCAATGAAGTAAAAGAAAAAAGAAGAGCTTAAAAGTTAATACTTATTTATTTCGTACAAACCGCATTTGATCATAATCATTAGCTGTTTTCTTCAGCTAATAATACATACAATATTGATTTTATTTCTTAAAACTTTGGTAATAAATAAATAAACATTACGCTCGCTCATTATTAGTGTTTGGTGCTTAATGCTTTGACTATCATGTCAATACCGATGTTTTCCCATTTATCAATAAGCATTTCAACAGGTCAGTTGAGCTAATTGCTTGTGTTGTGTTACCTTTAGTTAGTCTTAGTATCTTTGACACTAGTGGAGATAAATTCCTTAGAATAAACAGATTGATATGTCTATCACTAAGGGTAAATGTGTGATAATAATAATAATAATAATAATAATAATAATAATAATAATAATAATAATAATTGCTATTATTACATGTTAGAATATCATGAGTCGAAAAATGATTGCTATCTGACTTTATATGACTAATTGCAGACAACTTCATAGTTCATATCACGACTTTATCTTGATTAGAAAAACGATAAAGATTAAGAAGCACTGGACATCTATTTCATCTTAATGTGGAACTACTCACTAGTGTTCATACATGACCCTAGTAGATAGTAAATTCAAGAAATTCAGGTCTGTAGATGGACGCTTAACCATCAGATCATTGAGTGTACACGTTTATCTGCAATCAATTCTCAATAAAACGCGTCCATCTCCCATGTCATTGATGGGTAACTGCACCACACTTGACATGGTTGAGCACTACTAGTCACGACTTCTCATTAGGAAGGACTCCAGTATTGACATCCTGCAACTAGTCACAATTTGTAAATATTATTATTATTGAACATTTGTGATGATTGTTGAAATTTTAAATTCCATAATTTTTACAGTCCCCGTATGATAACAAATGTTTATGGTTGATACCAAATGTTTTATGTCAGTCCGGTAACTTTGTCATACTAATGCGATCCTTAGATTTTCCTTGCTTAAATTTTATGCTGTACTGGTTTGATGTTCTCTCTCTTTCTTATATATATATTATTGGATAAGCTAAGACAATTAAGCAAAAGTATTAGCAGTGCGTAATACATACTAAAATTCAACGTACATAGTCAACAATCTCTAATTCAAAAACAAAACACGTATCTAATCTTTCATGATTCACAACAGTCCTTCAATTGTTGATGTTTCATGATGAAAATTATCTTCATAATCATTCTAATTGTATTCCTAATTAACCCTTTATCTTCTAGGATCCAATCATGTGCATTCTTTTTGGTTTAAATTTACGTGATCGTAATATGACAACTAAAGGTATTCGCAACACATCGATTTCACTAATTATTTGTGTTATGATTGGTAAGTCAAGGGGAGTATTTCTCACGAATTGTTTTGGCTTCGACAGTTCATTTATATTGTTTTATCCGTAAATACAGTTTTTAACGCATATAGTCATTCGATATCGAAACAAATCTTAATAATCTAAAATTATAAAATTCGAGCAACCTAATAATGAGATTTATTTTAAAATTCTAGTCGATTTGGAATGACGACAGTCTACCAGTCTCATAAATATTTAAATGACAAAATCTTACTATTACTAATGGTTTCTATCAGCTTGTTTGTCTTGGTAATTGATCAGTCGAACAATCGTTGTGTGTGTTTACCGATAATAACTTTGCTCACTCTCTATTTATTACAAAGATAACTGTATATATCATGTAGACCATAGTGATCTTGAACAATTTTGTTTAATTCTATCGAATGGAATCGAATTGAAATTCGTCGAATACTAGGAAACACTGACTATTCACTTTAGACAGCATTAAAAAGTCTTGTTAACCGTTTTGAGTAAATAAGAATGTTTTTTTAGATATCACTACCAAGGTTGAACTTGATAGTTCCAAATAAAATAAGCATTGGGTAGAGAGTTAATAATAAATATATTTTTGTTATATCCCAATGAGTAGAAAAATTGTATTTCTGACGTTTCGTGACTTAATGTAAGTCACTTTTTCAGAGTAAATACATAACTATTTAAATTTGTGTTCATTGAATGTCGGTTGTCTATTTACTCTGAAGAAATGGCCTACATTATGCCACAAAACGTCATAAATTCAATTTTTCTACTCATTTGGATATAGCAAAAACAGATTTATTATCAAAAATGTTTTGTTTTTTATTGCTAGAAACATCAAAATTATATATCCCCATTTTTTGTCAAAACTCAGTGCACTCATAAACATATTTTAAACAAGGGACTAAGATAAAAGTGAGCCTATTTTGGGATTATACTTGTAATGTATGTATATTTCTTAAGAGTTTCAAACTTTAGGCTTGTAATTAATTAAATACAAAGCTCTAATTAAAATTAAGTTTATCAGAATATTCATTGTTCTATAGTTATATTGTGAAAAATACTGAACAATTATAATTGTAATTGTCTCCTGTGTTATCGTGACTAGGATAGATAGATAGTTCACCGTTTTGTAAGTTGTATTCATCACAGATCGATTGTAGTTGGGGCACCATTGAAAACTCACGAATACTGGATAGTAATGGCACAATTTCAATTTCGATCATTTTACAATATAACAAGAGAAGCATTCAACACTAATAGTGAAAATTGTTTCACTACTGACATGTTTGCAATGATCAAGCAAAACAATTCATTAGTTATTGTTAATCCACTTTTCAATATGTTTACAATGATTGATGAATTTTAACTGTAATTGTGGAAATTTTCTTTGTCATATAACTGACAAATAGGTAAATTTATTTTTGTTTTTCTTTCACACTTTTCATTAGGATTAACGTTTGGTTATGTGGCACATGCAATTAGTGCTTTTCAAGATGTTACACCATATCCCACAAGCGAGATGGTTCAAAGGTTAGTCAGTTCATGCCCATACTCTGCTTTTTATTTTCTCAATTATTGAAAATATTTTTGTAAGTTAGATAGTGCCTGACAGTGGAATGTAGGAAGCGCATTTCGTCCAATTTTTTGTACTTAGTTGGATATACCGTCATCCAAGCGTTTGGGTTCACACTGTTCATACTAACTCGAGATAGCCACTGCCTTGTACGTTGTTCGTCTTCATTCAGGTATAATATTTTACAAATTCACTTATCAAACGAACGCTTGACCATCAAATCAGTGAGTTGGTATTCAATAGCGTACACGTTTATCTGCAATCAATTCTCAATAAAACGCGTCCATCTCCCATGTCATTGATGGGTAACTGCACCACACTTGACATGGTTGAACACCATTAGTCACGACTTCTCATTAGGAAGGACTCCAGTATTGACATCTTGAAACTAGTCACAATTTTTAAACATTATTATTATTATTACTGTTATTATTATTATTGTTATTATTATTATTATTATTATTGTTATTATTATTATTATTATTACTATTATTATTACTACTACTACTACTACTACTACTATTATTATTATTATTATTATTATTATTATTATTATTATTATTATTATTATTATTATTATTATTATTACTGAACATTTGTGATGATTGTTGAAATTTTAAATTCCATAATTTTTACAGTCGCCTTATAATAGTGGATATTTTTAGTTGATTGTACTCTAAGTGAGATCATTTTGTGACGAGTACAACCCACAAGGAAAATCAATCTCCGAAAGATCTCTTCAACTAGTATCATTTTTTTTTATTAAAATAATGAATTTCGATGATGAAAATTAATCTGTTTCACGTTCAGTTGATAAATCCCCATAGTAAATGAAAAAAAACCGAAATAAGGTTATCAGTTTAAAACTTTATATTGATATTTACTTTACATTTCCAACGTGCCTAGTGCTGTTGTAAAAAAAAAGATGTTATTTGTGTTTACTCTCTTTCCACACTAATTTTTGTTAGCATTGTACTCGTTTATGATATCCTGGTTTACTCATATTTTCCCCAGAATTGTTCTGCTGTTATTCACTAATAAGCGATTATATTATATATAATTGTTTCATTTGTGCCAAGCGTATAATGATCAAGGCACCTAGGTGCATGTTTACACGTGTCACGTCATATTAGTTGGAATGGCATGTGACATCAGTTAGTTGATCGATTAACTGTGTTTCGGCCAATACTAAGAATTATATTATTTTACTGACTGATCTATAAAATAGTAAACAATGGATGTTATTGATTTAAAGTGGTGTCATTTAAAATTTGTCTGTACATTACATATTTATTCACTGATTCTTGCTCCCAAACATGAACAATATTTTTATCCCCCTAATTTGTATTCACCCATCATCTCTTTTAGTTATTTTCGTGATCATTTTAATTTTGTAAGTACTCATTAAACTCGCTGTTTGAACTACTTAAAACTTGAGCTGGTAAATTATTGCGTCAGTTTTTGTGTGGAATTCACCAGTAGAACATTTCTTCTCGAACTAAATCAAGAACAAGGTAATGCCAGTTGATAATTACGATTAGAGATGAATTTAATAGTCAGGTTACAGTCATTTTGTAGTAAAGTTTGTCCTTAGTTGGTGTTCTGTGATGATTGATTTAATATACTTGGTGTATTAAACTCCTTGCCCAAAATTGTATGTTGCTTTCTAACCACTGTTTTATGTTTTTTATACCTCGGTTACTTTTATTTGTATGTGATAACTTTTGACCAGTGTTTGGTTAAATTAAAAGAGTAAGGTGTTTTGAGCTGTCCAACAAATAGGCAACATAACTTTTATATCCAAACGAGGAATAAGTGAGTAGTAACCGCTAGGATCTATTTATGAACTGTTATTTAAATTTCATAGACATATTTAAATCCAGTGAAATAAGTCCTTGTTAGAAATGTCCTTATTTTACAGTAGGGTAATTTCATTCGCTCTTATTTTTTGTATGATTTTAGGGGTGAACTACGATCTTTTATTGGATCAATGCTTGTAGCAGCATTTTCTGGTGTTAGTGTTTCTTTCGCTATACTAAGTAAGCGACTATCAGCTTTAATTGGGAATGCAATATCACTTTCATTGTTACCGCCAGCAGTTAACTGCGTAAGTCGATCTGTTGTTTCTAGACCATTATTATCACCATCAATATTATTATTGCTATTAGCATTAAATATTCAAAGAATTAGCCAGTAAACTTAATACTCAGTAAAACTTAAACTTGGGATGGTAGAGAAGGATTGTAGCTCAGGTGGATGATTTTGGTGGAGTTTCGTTTTCTGAGCTGAATGGTTTAGTCGTGAAGCTTTCATTGTTCTTCTCAATAAAATCAGTAGAAACTTCAGACAGGAGTGAAGTATCCGAATTTCTCCACATATGACTAGCAGTTTGTCCCGTCCTATTTAAAATTTGTTTCCATTTTTAATTATTTTACAATAAACTGAACTGATAATCCTACTCTAGCCTCCAATCCAAATCTGGTCACAGTTCAAAGTTCCTTTTAATTCCGACTAATAATCATTAAGTTCAGATAGTGATAAATAAAATGCTACTTTGAATAGCGTACTTTTTTTTCATTACTATCATTAGCATCCCTTCGGAATTTTCTCGATGAGGCTCCTTATTACGTCTTTGTTTCTATTACATTGTTTTTTTAGGGTCATTTGTTATTACTCTCTCTTCTGGCCATCTCCACTGGAGAGAAACGTGAGGTAATTGTTCCCTTTTTTGACTATATATATATATATATATATATATATATATATATATAGTTTCGTGTCCTATATTTAGGAATTTATATCTACTTTACACTGATCAGTCATTTTCAGTTGCATAAACTATAGAATAATAATAGCACAATTGTAATGAATAACTGTTCGACGATAATAAATATAACTATTGATAACATTTTAACATTTATATGACAAATTAAAATAACCAAATAAACGTTCAAATTTTTTATGGATTAATCTTCATGTACTTTTATGTAAATGTTCTGATGGTTACCAGTATACAAATAATTATAATTATGGAGTTAAAATAGTGTCTTTTCGATCCGTAAAGTACATATTTTTGCGAAACAGTAAATCTGGGCGGCCTGCTTGAATATCTGGGCTACCTGTTTCTGCCATCTGATTATTTCAACAAGTTATCTGGGTTTTTTTCGTTTGTTTTAACTTATAATTATGTCCATTAATCGCATAACCTATTCAGGCGCTTTTATGAAAAAACTACGACCTTTCGCTTCACAAGTTACAAAAAAGTACTATAAAAGTCATCGTGGTGGTTGGCAATATGCGTTAAAGAGGATGAATATTAATTGTATGTCGATTCTCGAGCTGCTAAATTCTAACTATCAATCACTAATCAACAAAGTGGACTATCTGCAGTTCCTACTAAGTCAAAATATGTATCGTAATTGTGGTGTCATCACAATTCAAGAATCTTGGTTAAATGATTTACAGGATGACTGCCTAGTATCACTACGTAATTTCATAATTTATCGTCAGGATCGATCAAACAATAAAAGAGGTGTGGTCGCGGTGTAGCTACGTTTGTAAACATAAACTGGTGTCGATCTTCGTTGGTTTGTTTTAAGTTTTCAAATGACTTTATCGACTGTCTAACTCTAAGATGTCGTTTAAAACATCTGAATAAATACAAATATGTTTATGTTACCAATATCTACGTGACTCAAGACTGCACACCATCTGCGCTATCTGTTTTCGCTGATGAATTCACTGAGTTTGCTGTTACTGCCTTCAGTGATTCACTTTCAGTTGTATGTGGTGATTTCAATTCATGTGACTAGCTTCCTTACGTCACTAGGTCACCAAAACGTAGTAGATTTTCCTACTCGTTTGGATGCTCATTTAGACTTCGTTTTCATTAATGATGTAGGTATATATGTGACTCGTAAACGTGCTCCATTGTCTAGCTCGGATCACTGTATAATTCGTGTTCTACCTAAAGTATATGGAAATCATGGGAAGAGTACACTCATACATCAAACCAAGAAAGTCAAATATCGGAATTACTCAGAAGAAAATATCCGAAATCTGAAAAACATGTTTCATACGACTAACTGGAAATTATTTACAGATGACTCACTGGAAAACACTACTGATGTTATCGCTTGTTACCTTAAATTGTGTTTTGATATTTGCTGTCCCACTGAAACCATTTTTGTAAGTTTTGATCGACTTACATCTTCACAACTAAAACGACTACGAGGATGAAAGAAAGAATGTACAAGGAGAAGAACTCAAATGAAGTTCGTAAGCTAAATGGTCTGATAAACCTAGAGATTAGATGTCCTAACTCTATGTTTACTCAGAAACTCTTGTCTTGCAAAAACTCTCCAAGTATGTGGGAACTCTTTAAAGAACTTACAGGTGACAGACAGTTTAGAAGCGATAACCAGCTGAATGTTTGTGACTTAAATAAGTCTTTTGTACGTCAGTCATCTGATGTGATGCTCCCTCTATCCACGGGTTTAAATAATAGCTGTGTTCCTACCTTCACTGAGACTAATGTACGAAGATGTCTCCAGTCGCTTAATTCATCTCGATGTTTGGGACCTGATGGTATCCCAAACATCCTTTTTAAAAAGTGTGCTGACGTCCTATTTTATCCGTTCACAGCTATCTTTAACAGATCCTTCTCATCTAATCTCATACCGAAAATGTGGAGAAAGATGAAGATAATTCCTGTACCCAAGAAAGCATCTGGTGATAAGAATGTAAAATTTAGACCTATCGCAATAACTTCACCCTTCCTCAAAACAATGGAAAAATTATTAATACTTCTACTTCAGCCTGCGATAAAAGAGCATATTGATCCATATCAGTTTGCTTACAGACGCAAAAGAAGCACTTTAGATGCTGTTGCTGTTCTGCATCACAACATAGTGTTCAACTTAGAAAAGGGTAAGAAGTATGTTCGATGTGTTTTTCTGGACTATACTTCAGCTTTTGACTCTATACCAAGACAACGTTTACTTAACAAGTTAATCAGCGTCAACACTGACAGCTGGATAACCAACTGGCTGTGTTCCTACCTCTCTGGAAGGGAACAGTACACTGTTTGGAGGAAAGTGTTCAGAGTCTCTGTTGTCTCATGAAGGTGTACCACAAGGAGCTGTTCTTTCACCTCTTCCTTTCTCTTTTTTTCTGTATGATCTGCCATCTTCCATAGAAAACACTTTTTTGAAATATGCGGATGATCTTAATGTATGTATGCCTATTTCTTCCTCTTTACATCCCATAGAAATGAATGAGTTTTTGTCTCGTATTGATTGGTGGTCTGTTGGTAATGGTCTCATACTTAATCCGTCTAAATGTCAAGCTGTTAACTTTAACATGAGACATGAACGGCATCTAAATACTATTTTGAGATCCCATAATGCTTTTGCCATTGAAGACTTTGATAAACACAGTGTCAAGGGTCGATTATCTTGGTGTCACCTTTTTCTCTGATCTGTCTTGGTCTTCCCACGTTTTATGGTTATCAAAGAAGGTTTTCCGTCTGACTTACTACATAAAGAGATTGCATGATCTTGGAATTACTCGTCATTTACTCTTACAATTTGTCAATTCTTGGATATTACCTATTATTCTTTACTGTTCTCCATTATTCTTTCCCGAGCTTTTGAGGAAAGACTTTGTTGTATTGCGGAGAGTGCTGAAGGCAGTTAGCAAGATGTGTGGTGAATCTTTCGAGGTCATAATCAATATGGTTGTGGATAGACATCTAAAGTCTTGCAAACTCTTAGCAGGAGTTATCTTATCAGATACTAGCCATCCCCTTCACTCTTATCTTTCTCCTTGTATATCTTCTGGTAGAACGAAACGTAATTACATTAAAATTCATACACGCAAGCAAAAGTATAAAAGTTCTATAATACCTTACCTAGCAAATATACTCTGTGACGAACAGGTTGTTAGAGTTAACCTAATCAAGAACTTGCATTCTTAACATGTCCTTAATCTTAAAAGTTGTACAGTTTTTCGGTTTTTTTTTCTTTTTTTCAAAAAAAAACATTTCTCTCTTCTTTGTATTCGTTACTGTGTTTTTTTTGTTGTTGCGTAACTTGTTGAAATAACCTGTGCTGAGAATTCTATATTGTACCAAAACTATAATATTGAATAAAACCATTAATAATAATAATAATAATAATAATAATAATAATAATAACAATAATAATAAATCTATTTTACTGATTTGTTCTTTTTTTTTATAATTCAAATCAGTTGCCTATTATGAAAGTATTAAGTTATAATGAAACAACAAAGACTAGAAATAGTCATACAATTCCCATTTAGATATTAAAAATACGAAGTTCAGAGAAGGGATCTCTTTTCAATGAATTTATTATCAAGCTGTACAAAAGTATATATGAAAATTTTTCTCAAGTATCAGTTCCGTGAGGATATACGAACAAAGAAGAAACATGATGACGTAATAGAAAGATTACAATACTAGATTACATCATGTAAACATTAACAATAAAAGATTATTAGTGTGTGTGTAAATACATAGTACTGAGTCTCTACCAACAACAAATTAGTTGTCTACAACTATTTGTGTATAAACTTCCAATTTTGATTGCTTGATCGGCTAACAATAATCCTAGTGTGTGTAAACAACAGATCTCATTTGGTTTGAAATATTTAGACTTGATTTCGTCGATAATTACTGTAACTGGGGCTATGTGAATACATGTGATTAAATGTTTGTCTTTTAAAATAAAACTGTCAATCGACTTATATACACATATACCCTTACGATATACATATACTTTTGAAATCATTTTATCTGATGAATTTGTTCTATTAATAAATGGTTTTGTTTCTAGAGTAAATGTTTATAAATGATTCAAGCTGTCCAGTGTTTCGAGGACAATGATATTTTTTTTTCTTCGTTTTTTTAGTATGAAACAACAACAGATGTGGAGTCGAATGTTACAGCCACATTGCATTATTGTACATATCCATGGATTCGACAATACGAATTTATCTATATGCGAAATCATTGTAATGCTCCTTTGGAATTCCTTTACGTTGGTTTATCAAGCTTCTGTCTTGTAACAATGAACATCATGTTAATTCTAGTTACTGGATATACGGTGAATAAGGTAAGGTCGGTCACTTAGTCAGTCAGAGTACAGATGAAGAAGAATATCCTTTTAAAAACAATTATTTTTTGTTAGGAAATGTAACAGTTAAAAGGAATCCTATCTTTAGTAGAACAGGTCGGTGTTGAACTATCATTGTTCACTTAACATTCCCTGTCAGCATGAGACTGAACCAAAAAGCTTTATGGATAGCAAATTATCATTCTCGGGTCATATAACTACAATGACTGATATTCTCACTGGTTAAATAAACTTATTTGCATATATCGTAATTAGATGATTAAACCTAATGGGTTCCAGGATACGGAACTCAGTATTGAGACCTAGAACAGGGTTTTCAGAAGATTAGTCACTGGATGAATGTTTGGAGATACCCACATGATTACTGCTGATGAGTGCCTAAATTAGAACAACTAAGCAATAACTATTCAATAAACCTTATTCTTCACTGAATGATAGGGAATTTATGTAGTGCTAATCTAACAATCTTTCTCCTCAATCTAGGCAAATGTGTAGAGTGCATTTAAACAACCAGAGCTCCTAAAGGCCATCACAGAAAGGGTTCACTCTCAGCGAAAAAAATACCTTTTGAACGAACAAATATTAAATTCAGAGGTATTCGGAAATCTGATCCGATTTAATGGACTCCAATGAAGCCGCACGCTAACCAGAAACCAAGTGAGCAAGTGATAGATACTTAATATTAGGAGTTCACATTCCATTAGTCTAATTACCCAATGATACATATTCACAATAAAATAATATCATCTCTCCAACTATCGTAATTTTGATTGTTCATTGGTACTGATTGAAGAGATTGATACGCTATTCAGCAACAGTGATTATCAGAAATGTTCCAATGAATTCTTTTTTTTTTCTGTAGATCAAAAATCTGGTCCCACTTTCGTTTACAAATGAAATCACTCGGAGATTTTATCAAAAAGACTTACGAGCAAGTAAAACTGTCGAAAAATAATCTAAAATAATATTCTTTTAATTCTTAGGGTTCAAGGCCACATGCGAATTTCAACCTGTCTTTACATTTGATTTATTCTTTTTCTAAAAATTCATATAGACAATGTGTGTGTGCACCAGAATTTGATAAAATAACAATCATTTAGGAAGCTACAGGTAACTACTAGTTATTACCAATTCGAATGAATCACTTTGTAAATGAGAATGATACACAAATTATTTGTGTTCAGTAAGTGATGGGACGAAATGTGTGTTTTGATTAATTGAATAAATGATGCGTGTATTGGTTGAAAGTCAGTGAATCAATCAATAGTTAGTGATTTAATGCATATCTAAAATTATTTCGGATCGTAAGACAAGATGAAGTAAACAGATAATATTGGATCGGATTCAATTTGTTAGGAATGACTCAAACCTTACTTCTAGATGACAATAATTATGTCCTAGTGTAGGACTCCTCAGTAGCTGGCATCCACCCCACAAGGGATTGAACCCCGGATCTCCAACCTCTATATTTTAATGGTTGTTTAACTAAGATCAGTACATGATTTAAACTGAAAATTCACCGATCTCCATAAATCCCCTATGCTACCTATAACTGTTTTTAATTTGTAAATTAAATTATACTAGAAATTGGTGAGGACTTTCCTTTTGGTTGATTGGAATAACGGGGCGCAAACTGATTTATTACTAATTTACCACTTTCAAAAGTCATTTTTTATGGTTATAAAATAAAACAGACTCACTGAATTAACGTAGCTTGACAAAAGACAAGACATCACTTCACATCCATCCTGAGGTTTTCTTTACTCCAACCCATAAATGTAACTGTATACCTTTACTTGGTTTTAAGCTTCTGTAATTCTGTGTACTCTACGTTATACCCATTTGATAATCGCTAACCAAGGTTCTTTAATACATAGAAAACTCTTTACTTTTCCTTTATGTGCGTGAATGAAAATGAAGTTGCTAAAGTGTTCTCACTAGTATTGATTTTATGACTCCCAACATAGATGACTTTAAACAGTTCATTCTATACTAAAAAATTAAATTAATTGAACTAGTCAACTGTTACATACATATATATAAAATTAACATTATATTCAAAAATATCCATTTTTCTGAAATGTGGGTCGAGCTTTAAGATTTTGACTTTTTCTGGTTATCTTGTAACTAATAATCCGTTAGGTTTTGATGATACTCAACTTTGATCTAAATATCCCCTAACTTGCCTAATATCACAATCAATAAGATTTTAGTGTTCTTGGGTTCTCTGAGCTGGATAACTTAGTGGTGGAGCTTTAATTGTCGTTCTGGACGACAACATCATCGCCTACTTCATGTAGAAATGAGGTTATTAGTTATTTTTCAAGTATTAAATCGGTTCGTCCTGGTGGTTGCTTTCGTAGGTTTCCTTGTCTTTATTTGTCATTGTGTCCTACGTTGATTGTTATGTTTGAATAATTGACGTTTTGCATATGGATTGATAGATCGAGTCTATTAACTGGCTATTGATCTGAATTGCATTCTTCTAGAAATTCTTTGTCATTCTTGAAATCTCTTTGATCTAAAGTCTGTATGTTTCTCAGTCAAATTCATGTTCATGTTCGTTTATTGTGTTTGTTACTTATGTCGACAGACATAAGTAGTATATAACACCAATCAGAAATGGAAGGCTTGGTAGTAGAATGTCGGGAAGATCAAAGAGAAGAGAACGGGAACAGAGAGTAATCGTTATGGCAATGAGGGTACGATGAAGTTTGTGACAATTGATGGAGGGCGTGCAAATGAAGTATAGAACGTATGGTTTTCATATTTGACAAAAGAACTCTATAATTTAGTATTAAAATACATTTGCTGTCCCCACCTGTGTTCTCGTTCATTACAATATCAGTGATAACATATGGTATTGATTCAGCAATCCTTTGAAATTTTACAGACAAGTTAAAAACGAAAATAATCACAGATATTTGTCAAGAGATCTCAGAATACCCTCTGTTCATTAATAGAATTATGTGTGTTTCTATGCCGTTAGCAATGAGAAGTCCAAAATATGGTTTGTAAAAAAATGGAGTATGACTGATTAGCAGTGAAATCAATAACATGCATTTTGTGCTAGTTGAGACTCGTCATCTGGATCTACTTACATCTCAGTATTGATGGTCATATAGAGATTAGAATCTAACGTTCACTCTTTATCTACTAAGCTAATGAGTCTAGGTTCCCACTAACTTGGTCAAAGGGTGTGATATTTACATCATTACCAGCATAGGTTTATCATGTTGTCAATATGCAGGAATGAATTTGGATCAGTTTTTGTTTGCGTATGTGCATGTAAAATAGAATTTGAAGATAAGTTGTCATTTACACAGGTATTGACTGGACAGTAAGAGGACTAGACAGTTGACCCACAACCCTTGATTTCATGATTCATCTTTCTAATCAATAACTTTTGTATTAAAGGAATCTATTAATATGCTGGAACTTTTTTTATACTTTATTTTCCCGTATATTTTTATATAACTGAGTTTGTTAACCAACCCTAGACGTCATAACCTACTAGGTACTCATTCGATTGTAATTAATCAACTTTAAAAATAGATTGTTCGTTAACAAATTATATGCATTTAAAGTCTTATCATTAGTACTGGCATCATTTGATGGGGGTGGTAATCAACTGAAATACTTCATCGCTATTCACTGTTTTACAAAATCTGTGACAGACTATTAGAATAACAATTAATGTGATTTAAAGTCAGTCAGTCAGTCAGTCAGTCAGTCAGTCAGTCAGTCAGTCAGTCAGTCAGTCAGTCAGTCAGTCAGTCAGTCAGTCAGTCAGTCAGTCAGTTAGTCAGTCAGTCAGTAACAACGTAGAACTTCATACGTACGTACATCAGTTCGAGTCTTTTAATGTGATTTAAAGTAATTAAAAAAGAGAAAAGTTTTTGCTAAACTGATTCGAAACCATTATTTACCACAATTGATTGATCACTGGGTGGTGATCAATGTCATGCTTGTCTAGTCCTTATTAGTGCAGATCGAATGCTATCGATCATGTTGCAATGTGGCCAACAGTCTAGGTGACTCGACACTGCGGGCACTATGTATTGAGATTTAGATGGTGGTTGACTACCTCCAACCACCATCTAAACCATTGTTTACCATTTTTAGGTTTTTCTACTGATGTTTAATAAACAAATATCGACAATTGATAAAATCAAAAATCGTTGAACCAGAACATATTCATCAATCCTCTTTCTATTGTGCACACATATATGAAGAAAATAAGTAGTAAATAATCAGATCCTATAAAAACATGTTTGGGATAGAAAGATAAACTTTATTTTATTGAAGCATAAATGTGTACGTATATGACCATTATCTAGAATAAAACTATTTAATTTGATCGATAAACTGACCATATGTAAGACAATTTAATTATCATCTATTTTATCGTACCTCTTTTCTTTTCAACGCATACACCTGCTTCAATTAATCCATTGTTCACGATAGGAGGTTCGTGAAAATTACAAATGTCTGCATAAATTTGATGCAGCCGGTTTAGCCACTTATGCATATAATGAATATTTACGTTTAAATAAAATTAATACACATGATGATGAGCTAACAAATTTGGATATTGAAGATGCCGATCAGATTGCCAATGACTTTCATACAATTATGAAGGTGAGTTTATTTTGTATAAAGGTTTCAGTGAACATTTAAGAGCTGTGTTAGTGGGTTTGATTTACTTTGTTTATCAGTATGGGGATTAGTGGAGGTTGTAGTATTTTCACACTTCAATTGACGAGTAGATCTAAGCTAGACCACCATTGAAAACCTGGAAGCGGGATCGTGGATGCACACTGCTGAGGAGTCCCATACTAAGACGAAATGGCCTTTCAGTGCTTCAAGGTTTTCTATGGTGGTCTAGCTTAGATCGACTCGTAAATTCAACAGTGAAAATAATTTGTATATGTTGGTTGAGGCAGATAAACATATGAGTCATCAAAACATGTTTAAAGAATTCGAAAATAATTTGTTCATCCATAAACTTTTGAGTTTGCAATTTCTTTATAAGTATGATTTTAAATGGTTAGATGGGGTACCATCATGTAGCTTCTGGACTTAAGTTTCATGTTTATTGAAGGTGATAAAAGATGAATTTCTCCCACCACTAAAAAGATGTAATTAGACATGTTTTGCGTTTGCAGATTTCTGTATGGTTCATGGGATTCAGGATTTATGAAATCAACCACAAATGTTTCCTACATTGCATACCGCAGTGACAGTAATAAATGGTTATTAGATTTATTGGGTGTTTTTCTAACTTCGATCAAAATGTCTGCGGTATTATGCGTTTATATAGACCAATTCTGTCAAAATTAACTGATGACAGTTCAAGTAACTATCTAGTCAGGTTAACATAGAATAAACTGATTTTAGTTTTTACGTTCGTGTATTTCCGAGGTAGTTATTAGCTAACTGTTTTTTTGCTTAATAATTGTAGGTAATTGTGTAAAAATTTGAAGTGTGGGTTACAAAAAGCTTAAAACATTCACTTCATAAAACTTGAATTAGTTCATTTTAACACATGATTATGGAAGATTTGTATCAGAAGAGATTTTTGTGGATATTTTAGTAATGTCAATAGTTGAGATCGTAAGTCAATTGAAGCTAGACCACCATAGAGAACCTGGAAGCGGGGTCGTGGATGCGCACTTCTGAGGAGTCCCACGATAGGATGAAGCGACCGTCCAGTGCTTCCAGGTTTTCCATGGTGGTGTAGCTTCAATTAACTAATGATCTCAATTATTGAAATTATGGAAGATTTGGTATCTTAATTCGAAATGAGAGTCTTGATTGCACATGAGACGTAAATGTGAACATGCCGCCATTGTGAGTAATTTTACGGCTACTCCAGTTAGCATTCTGAAATCATTACTTGTTGTCGATCAAAGTTCACAACTGATTAAGATGAGGAATATCGTAACATTTGGAAATTAACTTTGTATAAAGGTAGGTACTAATGGAAGCATACTATGTTGCTGGATCTCTCTACTAGACACACTTGTAAGCATAATAATAATTATATAAAGAACACTATCGAACATAAGATTTTTAAACATCTTTAGCTCAAGCCAGTTAGGCATCAGAAACACAAAGGAGGACTGTTTTAGTTTAGATTCGAACTATGGTGAAAAACGCAGAGATACTACTCTGAATTTATCTATACGAAGATAGATATTATCTGACATAACACTAATGTCATACAACAATTTATGTGAAATTCTAGACCGTCTTTAAATATTAACAACCAAAGGCTTCTTGTGTTGTATAAGTACTGCATACTACAATGGCATTGAGGGTACAATATACCAACGTTTATCGGTGGCTGATTAGGTGATATTTGGATCGAGTACAATAAAATGAAATGGTTCGTATAGACAGGAGAGTAATTTAATTCTGCATAGTAGATCCTCATTGTCACTGCTTACTCCCTTCACATGTCTTGGGAAAGTCAGCACTTGCAAAGCTTCAGGGGGGAAAACGGAAAAAACCTATCCTAGGTTACCCCGTTAATAGTTCGAAGCAACAGACAGTAGTGTTTGTATACTCTTACCCAGCATGGTGTTTTCAAGATGTTGGCAAGCGTCTCAGGCACATCCCTCTCAAACAAACAATTTCAGAGCACAGTCCTGTTCAAATAATCGAAATGGGCAGAATTACTATTATTGTTGACTTACAGTACATGTTTGTTCAAGCATTTGATGGAGAAGGAAGTTATTATCATAGCCTGGACGATAACCATTCCGATCCTCATGAGTCAACGATATATATGTCTTGAAAAATCTAAGCAGTATGATGACAGCCAATATGTCAGATACAACCGATAGGTGATTATGGCATACTACACTCAAACACTTGGTGACACGGGTTATATCTATAAAATATTCTGTTGGGTTTCTAATTAATTCTTTCAAGTCTGACCACTTTCGTATGTCTATGTATCATATTTTTTGCAGTCAATTCTTCGTATGATTAATCTTAAAGTATATCCCTTTTATTATATTTTAGGATCTCAAAAAAGATCCCTATCTACAGACTATTACTGCAGAAACAACCCAAGGTGATAACAGTTTCTTGGTAAGTTTTAAAGTTGTTTGTGCATATGATGTTCTTGTATATTGGGATACTTTGCAAGTTAAAGTAATTAGTCGCTTTGATAAATTTTGATAGTGTTATAAGAAGACGAAGATTATCAGAACTATGTGATATATTAGCGCAATACATTTCGAACAATCTGATCACACATATACTTACTAAGAACATTTATATATGAAAATTAAAAGGTCAACTAAACTATTCAATGGCTTAATTATGAGAGTTCTTGGGAATGCATTTAGTTTGTATGAGACTTCATGTATTTACCCGCTACGTCCTTATATGCTGACCATGCTTCTATTCCTAAATCATCACTTTCGGAAACAGATAATCAAGCGTAGCTATACATTTTCACTCGTAGCTTCATTAGTCATTTATATAAGGAGAGAAGCAAAACAAACATGTTCCGTGTTTTTGTATTTGAGAACTATTTTCCATGACAAATGTTAACTATTTTTACTGTAATTCAGCTTTAGAATTTTGTGTTCTAAAATCTGTGAATTACTTTTAATCGATATGAGAATAAGTTAATTTTATTAAATTCGGCCTAGTGGTGGAAATAACGAAAAATGATATCACTGTTTATTTCAAGGCTGTCTAGGAATTGAACAAATCATTTAATTCAGTATGAGGTATGGATTTCTTTATTATTCTTATAAATTGGTCACTTGATTGTGTTTCGTAATCAATAGTTTTTATATTTTCGCGACCGTGACATTATCATCATAATTGTGTATAAAAAATAGGTCCCGTTTATTCACATATCGTGTAAATACTAATTTATTCAATTCATATATGATTCTCTTTGTACCTGTTTTACTTTTTATCTCACTTATTCAGAAGAGATTTATGGAGAAATCCGACGAATTATCATCGAGAAACGCCGTGAAACGAGTAAAAAAGCGCCATACATTTTGTTATCCCGATAAAAAGTCTATGGTGTCCCAAGATGAAGCAGTTAGCAATAATATTAATAGCACTACAAATATTAATAAAACCATTAACATTACCAGTCGTCCTACGTTTGTCAATAAACATACCAACAGTAACACATGTCATAATCTTGAAAACAGGAGTAATAATAATGTTACGAGAGTGAAGCTAGTGTCTGAAATTAGACCCTCAAGTTTTGCTAATGAAGTAAGTTGATTTTACTGGTAAACAAAGTAATATTTTGTTGTGTCAACTGATAACAGAAATATTCTTTATTATTTTTTAAATGGATAATTTGGTTGGAGAAATGTTTTTAATTCTCAACGCCCTTTAAGATCCACATACTATTTAACATTACAAGTAAGAACTGTGGCGTACAAATCGCTTCGTAGATGTTGAACTAGTTCATACAAGAATGTGTGATACATAAACCAAATTGTATGGTAAACTCTCAACAGAACTCCATTTTGTGACTACTGTTACAGTTTAACTTGAAAGATACCAAACAATCATTAATATCCTATTTTTATTAGCATATTAATCAATTTACTATTAAAATATCTCACTAGATAGTTTCATCCACTTAAATTTAATAATATCAGGCTCAATAGGGACTAGAATCCCGAATTACTACCTGACGGGAACCTTGTTTTTCTAGCGATTTATGACTGGGTTCATCTTCTCTTTGCCGATTCGTAAGTTTCCAACTACCTATATGTGTATATCAGTGAGATAACACAGAGATCAGTTACTTTCAACGGTATTAAGTACCCTCAATTTAGCTAGTATGATCTATACTTGTTTGTAGTCCTCATTTAATTTTATCTTCCCCAAACTATTTACCAGGTATATGCTATTCATATTTACGCAAAGAACGTAAAATTAAATCGGTTAATCGGATAAGAAATAAACTAGTTGCTGGAATAAACTACACCCAAAGAGTCTTAAAAGTGCTATCGCATCTTCAACTGATGTGAAATCATTAGAATTGATATAGATAACTTCGAAAAAAATGAAAATAACTTAACCGCTCCTGTTATTTTACTTCGAAGTGACTTAACAAATTCAAATTATGACCCGAAAGTTCGAATATTTTTAAACTACATTATACCTTAATATCAGTTGACGAAGTCATTAGTTGATAGGTAGGTGAGTTTCCCACTTCCTATAGTCTTCTGTAATAATTATCGGTCATTTTGGTTTTTAGCACTGATAAATATTTACTTTGACTTCCCAAGTACCCCCATGAATTGAAAAACATCAAATGTAAAGATGGTTGGAAAAAAGTTTCGTGATATCCTTATCAAGAACGTGAATTATATCCAGTTCCGTTGTAGTTTTAGAGCTCAAAAAGAATATGAGCATAGATTTCAGATTAGTTAAACATATTCCCGCGGGTCATTAAACTTTTTATTCGTTATTTTTTTAAACAAAGTAGCTTGAATAACCAGTTAGTCATAACTTTTACCTTTCTAAGCAGATTTCTTACTCTTTTATTCATGAAAACTGAAATAGAATCTTAAAACAAATGATGTCCAGTTTTCACCATTAATTGAAAATGGCAAATATCGAAAATGTCCAATGATACATGAAATTACAGAATCGAAAATGAGAAGTAAGTTTATAAATTTTATAAAAAAATCTGTTCTTTTTTCGGCAACTACAATCTGATAAATCTTGCTAATTTGAACGCTTTATTCGGTTCCTAAGCTATACTGGTAACCCGCAAGCTAGAACTACGCAGCAACCTGAACACGAGAAAAAAGGCATAAAATTGAGCGAAAGCACTTTACTCCAAGGGTTCATTTTTGCACAGAAAAACACGGGTATTTATAGATGTTAACATTTGTTAAATCAACATCATATTTTGGCCAGTCCGCTAAAAGACATATTATGCTACTGGCGAATAGTAGCACGCCACGTTGATATTCTAGAAAGCTCCATCATGCTCTGATTGGCAAGGACTCTCCGGCTCCTTTAGGGCCTCTGGAGGCTCCATTGCAGTTCTCGGAAAGCCGACTCAACATAATCACATTTAACAGCTTTATTATTGTTACGCTAATATTTTTTTCCAAGAGTAGATGTGATACATGATACCAACGAAGGATTGGAAAAAAGAGAAACAATCCATCTCCATATATTTCACAATCAATTAATTATGAATAATATAGGGAACAGGTATGCTTATATAAGCGAATTTTGACTCTCGGATAATTATTTAAATTAGAGAGCACAGAACTGAGTCGAATGAGCCTAGTCTTATCTTTATGATATCATCATCAGTGACGAAACTAATCCCTAAGACGTTGTTAGTCAGATTAACCAATACATAATCAATGTATTTAAAAAATTGAACGAGTATTGTTATCAGTAGTGGATATTTCAGATCCGATTTTTAAATTATTAGTCAACATAATTCTAACTTTTATCAAAATATTCCAATTAGGGGGGAGGGTTATTTTCCATTGCTTATAATTCTGATAATATCATCCTTTATTTAAACAAGTAGTTGATAGAATGACAGTTTTCTTCATGAGGTTACAGCTGACCGACTCAGTGCAGACTGTTGTTTTACAAATCCTTATATTGAGAAGCAAAACTGAATGGTCATATGAAAGATGAAGTTTATTCCATTTCAGTATTGAAACTTCTCTAGCTTTAGTTCAGTTTTTCATATTCGAAATGTGTTGTCTTGAATTTTAGACCACGCAGTTTGGGACTAGCTTACAAGCAACGCTTATACAGTTTGACTGCAGTAGGTGGCTTAATAAAACGAATTTAGTTTGGTGAACTGAAATCAGGGGCTTTCGACTTGTTTTCGGAATCCCTCCTAAGACTTATCCTTTCGTCCTCTTTATATGGCGTACGTAAATAATTTTCAAGTTATTTTTTCCCTAAGAAGTCCACATAAATAATTTTTGAGACTCCAACCATTATTCCAACTACTAGCGGCCTATACGAAAATCTATAGCATACAATTCGAAATCGGTATTATTTTCAGGAAGTTCCGACTAGTTGCAGCTTTCTGATCCGAAACATATTTATAATAAACAGTGTTATCTGCTTTTAAATTATTGAGACTTGTTTCTTGTATAACAAGTGGTTTGTTTGCTTACAACGCACCAAAGATTAATACGCAACACCATACATGTGACATGTATAAATATAAAGATAATATTTGTTTCATCCAGTAATTATTTGATAAATTGACACTGTACAAAAATTTATTCCACAATTACAATCGTTTGACTACTTTAATGCTTTTATTTTATAGCTTCCAGTTCTACAGGAAGATTTGAAGTGGTGTCTGTAGAATGTCAATCAGAATCTACATATGATCCAGAACAGGATGATAAGGGCGAAAACAACACTATGTTGAGAAGAAACGTTTGAGAAAACCAAAGTAAACACAGAAAATAGCAACCATCACAACAAAATATTGTTTACATTACGGTTATCTCAATTTTAAGATTTATCTTTAAAAAAACAAGTCTATCACTTCAAGTTTATCAAAACTAGATCTATATTAGATTGACTGATTTATCTAATAAAAAGATGACGATTATCATTGTTTTTAATAAGTTCATTTTCTTTCCTGTAGTTATACATGAAGAACTATTCACTTGTATGTTCTAAAGAGTCCCATGAAAAATCAGCTACAAGTGCGATATGATCACTTGGGAAGTAGGCGTTTGGGAGACCCAATTCGCTAGAATCTTGCACAATTTGACCATTCTCATTGATTAACTGAATCAACAACTCTTGGATTTTCTCCAGTGGATCAATCGGCAACACATGAATACATTTTAAATCTGAGTCTGTATTATACAATATAACGTCCAAAACATTGTGAAATCCAGGCACCCAGTTAGTAAATTCAGGTGGATTATTTACATAAGCTGATTCAAATATAGGCTGATAAGCAACCTCCTCACCAGATGGGCATCCATCACCTTGAGTGAGAGCGGTATACACATCACTACCTGGACACTGATTAATATCCCCACAAAAAACAATTGGAATTGGTTTACTGAAGTGAACATGAAAATAAAGAAAAATTAACGGAATGATTGACCTAGTAAAATAGATTAAGATTATTTTTATTAAAAAAGTTACAAGTTTTAGAGCCTAAGAAGCCTTACATATTCAAGTGATAATCAGCATCAAGAGTCTACATTATATACACCAATAAACAAAAGAATACTTGCTTATCCGACTGTCTGTAATCCATAGCAAGTTTTGATAAGTAGTAATGAACTGTACGCGCTTGAATTATTCGAATCGGACTAGCTGAAGGATGAAAATAGAAGTGGGCATTAGAAACAATCAGTAAAGGAGATTGTGATGTGGTCGACTTCTCTCGAAATATCCCACTGATCAGACACTGCGATAATGACTTTTGAATATGGGTTTCGGTATTCTCTTCACTAAATGAATGGCCCGTTGAGCTACAGCTTAAGGTTGTGGAATTGAAATTGTTTAACATAGTTGATAAAAATGGAACGGTTGATGCATAATGAAGTATCGATGGTAGGCCGCATTTCGACACAAGTTCAAACCGAGCACGACGATAGAAGATTGCACAACCTTCACCCTTTGAAGTAAAAAAAATAGTACATATATATACTTTGCGAGTATTTAATCAATTCCCTAGCCACTAAGGATGAAAACCAAATGAGAATTCATGAGTCTAGTTACACACAATCTTTTAGTGAGTATTTTTAGCGTCAGCTTCATGCTTTTCAAACCTTACCACCAGTGACGGGAATAGATGAGGTGCGACATCTTTGAAGTTGGCGTGCTTTTACATCTATTTGTAGATGCTGGTTGTCTGAAACAAACACATTACTCCTGCCTTAATATGATTTTACGTTCGGACGTTAAATTGTTGTCCTGAGTCTTACAGCTGTCTAACCGATTTATCTGGCCTGACGGAACGACGAGTGTTCTACCCAAAATAGTTAATTCGGTAGTCACAACAGACACTCCCGATTAGCACGTTATAGTAGGAACTACAGTTGGACTTGAAACACAACTATCAGGTCTACATGAGTTCTAATCCATTTCACTCGAACATGGTACATCGGAAGTTAAGTTGAACTGCTAAAACACAAACGTTGTAGATTGTAGTTCCTTGTATAAATTTTTATGTAGCTTCTGCATGAAGTTACTTTTAAGAAAAGCGAACTACTAGATATTTGTGGTGATAAGACAGTATCTAAAAAGAGCATTAAAGGTTCTTCAATGGCCGAGAAGTTCAGTAATTTTTCGGTATATGTCCAAATATAGTGAACAGAGGTTTAACATTTTGCAACATACAAAACTAGATGCACATCCCAACAAATACGTAGTTATTTTCAAGTCTTCACTGAGTCACGAATATTGGAGCTTTAAAGGTTTCATGAGGCAATCAATTTCAAAAAGGATTGAACTGTGCTTCTCCCTCGATGTCATGTTTACTAGGCCCTAATCAGTGATAGAAGACACACTATAAATTGTTACATCTGAACGAAGAATAAGTGAATGGTAACTGCTAGGATCTATTTATGGATTTTTACTATATATATTTTTATTGTATAACTATCAAGTAAGTAGATTTTATATATTTATATTCCTTTTATTATAGGCTTCCATTTGAGCTATTAACTACTATTCCTAAGTTATTCCCAGTTTATTAGTTAGTCTCTTACACTCACAGACACATTTAGCTTGATCTTGTGTGGTTGTTATTTTCTATCTTATTGTATGATGCGGTCTGATTTGCTCGTATATAAACTGCGTATGTCTGAAATACATGATTAATGCAGTGGAAGCTGTGTTTTGGACTCAACAGGCAGGGCTAGGTAGAAGGACCAATCAGGACTCAGAATTGACTCTAGGCTGCTCGTACTGGTTCATGCGTCATTGGTCTGGTCAATAAGTCGGTGTTCTAATTGGCGATTTAGTCATGTGGTAATCAACCCAGCAAAAGACAAAACATAAATACGACTGTTGATGGTGGTATTGACGATAAGTTGTAATTTATGTACCAAACGTAAATTCATGTTCTTGGACATTGGGACTCACTGTATGATATCTAGCGGTATGAAAACATGAACCGGCACACCTCTAAGCTTTACGTTGATGATGACTAAGTAATGGTCCATAAATCTAAACTGGAAGTGAAGGGAGAATCAAGTCTTCAGCCTATTGATTGAAAAGCGAGAACTTTAAACACCACGTTACCGCTATCAAATTTTTAAACTACAGCACAATAAGTACCTATATATTGTCACTTGTATTAACTGCATTCAAAAATAACAAATTTACTAGAAACCACTAAACTATTTCATTATCAATAAACTTATACTGAAAAAAAAACACTACAACTACCTTTTCTTTTTCTGTGTCAACTTTAACTTTAGCCGGATCATTCGGATCAGTTATGACTGCTCTTTTGGCTAAGAATATGCCGTCCATATTTCGATGGGATCTTAAAGCATTTAGAAGGTATTTGTCGTAAACCCATCGATCGACTTCTTGAAGGCAGATAAAATCCGACTGATAAGAAAACAGTTCACGTAAAATCAACGGTAATCGGTAGGCTGAACTGATACAAGCCTCTGGGCAATGTTTGAATATATGGGCACGAGCAAAATCAGATCGAGCATACATTTCGGCCAGAATATTGTAACTTACAACACGTAAATGTTGTGAATCTAATTGATTGTTTTCAATCCACTTATACCTGTTAATTAATATGAGAATAAGAGTAAGAGGTTATGAGAGTGAGTGGAGAAACGTCCGATCTGACACGACAGTGTAATTACAATTTGCATACAAAAAAAGGGAATCGAGAGTATAGCTCAAGTGATTGCTTAACATCAATTAAGGCCATACCCTGACTTTTACAGCCTACAATTCTTGCTGTTTTGAAGAATCAAATACTGTGGCTCCCAAAGCTCTATATCCCTTTGACTAACGTATACATAACCTGCATAATTCAATAGCTATGTGTTAACCAATATCATTAGCTATCTACATTTTTTGCGCGACAGGTTCAAACGTCATTCGTTAACCAACGTTTAGGAAAGCATCATTAGGACAAAATATAACATGAGGCATACTGTATTGGCCATTTTACAGTCCTGCTACTTCTTATTGAACTCACAAAATTCCATTTTGATCCTTGCAAAGTGCATGCATTACCATCGATAAGTTTCTCTGAAAAAGTGGTTACCACCATTGGCTGCAACAAGTGCAGTTACTTGGCAGAGTATACCTTGAATTGCTATATTCAACGTATTACAAACAAGCTAGAAATGTAGAACATATTTATTTTAATTATAAATGTTTTACTTCATTATGCAAAACTACTTTTATGGCGAATGAAATTAAACCAATTATTAACGTTCTTACCTCTGTTGATGAAATACTTGATTAGGAGCTATAAGTACAGGCGATTTGCATTCAATCGGTTGTCCATAAGGATCAAAAAATTTGTTTGTTCCGAATGGGACACCGGCCATACCTTTAATGTCACGTACACGAACTTTCAACTGAATTGATAAACCAACATGATCTTCAGTTGGTATGAATAAGAAGCCTTTGTGACACGGTTTATCTGGCCATTTTTTAGACTGTGAATTACAGAGGAAAACAATCACACACATGATCGAAATAAACAAAAAAAATTCAAAAAGATTGGATGTAGATATTAAAATTAATAGAATGAGTCGTAATACAGAAAGTGATTGAATGAAACTGAAGATTGCTACTGATACGAACTTTATTGTTCTATTAGACTGTCAATAAACCCAAAGCGGTCAAATTTTAAGCCTATGACTTTTATGCTTAGAGTTAGGAGAAAACTAACTCAGTTTCATATTGATAGTTCACGTGCCACGTTTAGGCGAATTTAGACAAATTTATGTAGGTAAGATTGGGAGAGATCTGGGATTTTTGGATTCATTGTGATGAAAATCACTATCGATGCTCACTGAAAAGTAGACAATAGTCTCCTTGTAAATTCCTCGTTTGCTACGAATCATGAAAAGAACTAGACGACATTTTAGATAAGCAACTACTGATTAGATAAAGTGTCTAAATTCATGTGAACCTGGATGCAAAATCCTGCATTTCCACATACTGTTAACATTACGAACTGAGAACTTTGTAGATTAATGCTGGATGCGCCTACCTACATACATTACTTAAGATCATCCAACTTGCATTGAGCATGAAAGATGTTTGGTGATAGTGTATGTATTAAGAGTCAATGAACTCACAAAATGAACAGATTTCATACACTTTGCAAAAAGTTATTCATAAATCCAACTATTTACTGTTTCTATATTTTTTGAAGTTTAAATGTCGTAGATTCGCTAGAGATTAGAAAAGAATACTAAATACACACGAAATAAGATTTTCGTTGTGGTTATTTTATTCAATAGGATAACACATATCCATAAATACACAAGCGAATTTACAGAAACAGCATCATAGTCAAGCTACTGTATATCAAATTAAAAAAGAACGAATAGGAAATATGATTACCTGTCCAACAAACCATAGAAATTCAGAATTTGTCAGACATATATTTTCTCCTTCGAGAAGCGGTACAACAGGGCAACCCACCATTGGAATTGTATTTAAACGGCATTGGATTATATGTGCTGGGTTTCTCTGGACAACATAAACAAGCAAGGTATTTTTTTCAGGATAGTCATGCATGGAAAAGTTTATTTGCAACAATAATTGATACGGTTTACTAGGATTATTATCAGTAGAGTCTGATAGAAAACAATCTTCAAGAGTCTTGTCATTACTAAATTCTGTTAAAGCAGTAGATCCATCTGTACTTTTGCAAACCAAGTTAGCTTTTGTAGCTAAATAAACTCTGTTATTGGTTGATATACTCCTTCCTTTCAAATACTGGCCATTAATGGAAGATATAAGACGAGTGAAGAAAACCGATAAGGGTTCGTGAACTGAACATTCAAAAGAAAATCGTCGTTGCCTACGATCCTGCTGAACTTCAAAATTAGTTGAAGCTGGGATCGAATATGGAATAAACAGTTCTGCAACCAGCTTCTTACATTCTTGATTAGCTATTGATCGGATAAAAAAATACGGGAAGAAATTCGAAAACACATCCGAATCCACTTTTGAACAATCTGTTTGCATATGTATTTTGCGGTAACGTCTACAGAAGAGATATCGAGACGAAACTCGTATCCACATCAATTGGATTTAAACCGTAGAAAGATTTTTACAGGAACGCCTACAAAACTGTAGAATAATTTATTTAAATATAGTGAAAATTCCCATTTTGACATTTGGTGAATAAAGAAGGAACGAATTGAGAGAACTTTCTTTTCAATTAGTTGAAAACTAATTGATAAGAAAGTTCTTCGCACAATTCGTTCCTTCTTAATTTATTTAAAATTGTGAAACCGGTTTATCGCACATTATATATATAATTACTATATTTCTGGGCACATCTGATATATGTGGAAAGAATATAATCGCCTTAAAAGTCTACTAATACCGTCCAAAGTGTAAAAACCATTAAATTTAGTAATAACTACCATGGTTAGAGCAATATTTCTACTGTCCTCTTAACATATACTGTAGTACGATGTGCAGAATAGTTACGGATCTATATAATTATTTCACATCATAACCAGTCGGTTGTTATTTCCGACATGCAATGGTACTAAAGAATTAAATAACTTAGTCTTCAAAAAGGAAACTACGACCGAAAATACACTATATCTAACAAACCTGATTAGCTTTAAATACACTGTACCGTAAGTAATATCATTACTAAGTGTATTTAAAACTAATCAGGTTTATTAGATATAGTGCATTTTCGGTCGTAGTTTCTTTTTTGAAGACTAAGTTATTTAATTCTTTAGTACTATTGCATGTCTGAAATAACAACCAACTAGTTATGAATTGAAATAACTCCAATAATATGGATCCCTAAATATTCTGCACCTAACTGTATTAGGAAAGCAAAATAAGCAACTTCCTGGAAAAATGCTCTGAAAGCTAACTACCTACATGGAATTTGTGTGTATAGCAATGTATCAAACATGTAAATTCTGAAATCGAAATCGGAACAACATGTGCCTGAAAGGTGACAATGGGATTATTTCTACAAACCTTGGTCTGGTATATTTGAGTCATGAAGCATCTGTTAACAAAACACTGATACAAAAGTAAATTGATGAATAAAAAGATAAAAATAGCCGAAGCCATCCAGTTGCATTGAACGAAATCTCACATTGGTTTCATAAATACCATGAAACTAAATAATTAGATGGGGATGAGGAACCATAGAAAAATTAAATATATCAGAAAAGGACCTCATACTGTAATATCGAAATTGATGGAGAACCTTGGATCCTACCTCTTAATGATTAACTACAGCATTGATACAAGTTATGGTAACTAGAAGTAGACTCAAACTAATCGGGACAAATGAATACAGATTTTGAGGGCAAATACATATTTTTGAATAATATAATCCAGAACTCGAATGTTTGAAGTCTATCACTAACTTTTAGATGTAGACACCATAACTAAGAAACTGAACACTGATTCTCCTCAACACGAACATAGCTGGAACGCCACAACCCTATAAACATTCTACTCCTATAGTGATAACTCTTAGTGGGTAGAAAATAATCGATAGCTATACGAAATACTAATTTGTAAACTAAATTGGGAGCTTTGATACCAGAATTTCATTGATGGTTTTTCTTGCTGCTAGAAACATTGAATATGACCGACAGTAGCATTGTTACAAACCAATTTCTTTTCTGGATAACCCATAAAAATCCATCTGATCTTTTGTTACGTGAACCATGTGGGGGAAACGCGAATGCCTGATTACTACAGAGAACATGATCATTAGCATGAAAAGCAAGCTATGAAGTTTACACATGAATCTGACAACTTTCATTTGTCGTTCTCTTTCAACGTAGCTCATCCTCTTGAATTAAAAGTGAATGAGAAGTTGAGAGTACATGCCATACAACTGATGTCAACAATGTAGACGGCTCTAGCTAATATTCACTAACGAGAGATATGCTAAAAAATATTTCCAGATTTTGTGGTTGGGTAATATTAACTTATTTTTTAAGGAAGATAACTAACACTACACCATTAATCAAAGGAGTTAGAGAACGACATACCTACTGGAAGACACATGCTTGAGATGACGTCCATAGACGAAAGCTGAAGCAACCAGCAGTAACTCTCCGTCTCCAATGGTTGTTAGACTGGCATAAATATACGTTTAAGATATTTTCGAGAATATAAACAAACGGATAAAATTAGGCTAATGTAGTGCTACACAGGTTAACTAAGTGCTACGACCCGATCCTTTGAAATCACTTAGGTATTCTATTTCAAAGACTTTTGTGGGACGTAATGTATCTTTGTACAGGAAGCATTACGTTTTGGAAAAGCTAATATGGAAATAATTTCGTAAGGTTGTTATGATCACATGCTGATGAGCGATCCAGCTGTAAAGTAGTTCTTTACTATTGTTGTACAACTGTCAAACAGAAAACCGTACTTCACTTGGTAGTTCTCAAACCATCTCGTACTGAAACTCTAAACTAGCCAGACTTATCTTGACTTATGGACGAGACCACTCCACTAACCTATTTACGAAATAACGTACTTGATGAGTCAGCTGGTTTTTTAGTGATAATCAACAAGCTATGATAACTTGATAAGTTAGATAGCACACAATTCTGCATGCAGGTTTATTGATGTGCGATGCGAAACCTATTTTCGTTTACTTCTCCAGGTCATTGCTGACGGATTTGCAACTGTTAACGTGAATGTTACACCCGGTTAACTAATATGAGAACAGGACTCTAAATTCCAAATTAAGCCATGCTTCCGGTATACCTTGAAAAAAAACGACTAACTAAGAATTGGTACAAAATATGGGTAGTCTGTGATCTTACAAATATCAAGTTGGAAAGCCGGACCATGCATTTTGTGGGTTTATACTTTTGAGGAATGTCGCGTATACACACACAACTTACATCAGATGTTTATGCCCGGACTAAACCGTTTATCTTTAAAGATTTGCATAGTATAGAGGTAACATAAAATTTCTCACAGGCAAATAGCTTCAACTTACTGAACTGAGGAACTGTCTTTGTAAGTACAACATACGCATCATAAAATATGAAACAATACACTTAAACCATAATTGAGTTCTTTATGATAATTAGTTCTTTGGCAGAAATGATTAGAACATGTCATCAAGAGACAAAGTGAGAAACTGGAAAATAATACACTGGATTCCTCTTCAGCGTAAGCTTCAAAGGAAGAAACAAATTTTCATGAAAAACCGCTTATTAAACCAAACTTTAGATGGCATAGCAAAAATAAAGCTGATATACAAGCATATATATTAGATATATAAATAAGCATAATAAATTAACTACACATAAATTAGTCTAAGTGAAAACTGACTGACAAACAGCAAGTGGATTTAGAAGAGTATCATGAATAACCCATAACTTGAGTGTTCATCTGTGGAAACTAATCTACTCGGTTAGTCAATAAAATTGACAAAAGAAAACTGAAAACCCGAATACGGGGGAAATTATTTCGACGTTTGGTAAAATAGAAATCCTGGGTAAAACTAAGAAACCATCGAGATATAATGTGACAAAACATCCCAGAATTTATGTGGAACAAAAACAAAATAAACTTGAGAATTTGAGGAAGACTACTGAGAAAAATTCATCTAAATTTGCGACGCTTCGATTTTCCGCCTAAATTCCCTTGCGAATTGCAACTTCCTGAGTTTAGTGAGTGTGATGAATGTATAGGAGAATCTGATTTACGATAAGCGGGTAACAAAGTTGGTACAGTCGATAAAATCGGTGGTGGAGAAGAACGTGAAGGACTAGAAGATGAACGCAACTGTTGACGAACTGGTTTGATGTTTGAATGTGTAATACCATCCGCGGATGTTGGGATATTTTCTAACGACCCTGTTGAATTTACTTCCCTCGAAACTGCTGAGTAGTCATCATCTGTCCTAAAGGATTGCCGTGATGTCGGGTTAGATGAAGTATTAGACGAAGATGACAACCCACCAGGACTAGACCGCTGGGAGAGGGATCGTGCAGGCCCAGTACTGGATCCATCAGACGAGGAAACAGAAGGGGAAAATGCAGAATGTGAACTAGAAACTAGGCTCGTGGTGTTGCTGTCGGTCGCCAGTCCCCCGATTGAATTTATGGCACTCGTGTTAGTGACGAAATGCATTACTGTGTTAGCACGGCCAAGCGCAGAAGGAGAATAATTTGCCATAGTGCACAGAACAGGTTTTTGTGACTGAAGAACAGATGGATGACTAGACGACACATATTCTGTACCAGAAGCAGTTCCGGGCTGAAATGAAGAAATACATAAATACAATAAAAGATAGTTGTTAAGGTTTATTCCAGAAATTAGGTAATATCTGAGCCAAAATTGGATGACTATAAACAATATGTGAGCTTGGTTTCTAATGACGGGTTGTTGCAACCGCCATGTAGAGAGCGAATGAGCAATGTGGTTAAGCCTACAGTCAAATGACTCACGCAAGATGGTAAATGTCATAATCTCTTTCTTACGGTTATGACCTAGTTATTCCTACTGCTTAGTACTCTTGGACACCAAACCACTCGACAAGACCCCAAATCAGAACACGGTTGAACAGGAAAGAGATTATATTTCAAATAGTCAGGTTAGATGGAAGTAAGATGCAAGTAAGAAGCGCAATAGAGAAAACGTTAGTATGTTTATAATTTTTACATGAGAAGATTCTAGAGTATTCTCCAACTATCGACTAGTGCTGATTGGATAAGAATTAGCCAGTCAGCGTGCAGCAAAGCAATCGTGCATTGAGCATGCTTTAATCCAGTCTATGTCCCGCTAACAGTAAATATATCAATTATTACAGGAAATCCATAGGTTGATGTCTAATTGTAATATCACTTGTAGTTCAGACTAACATATCAGAAACATAAATCAGGTAAAAATAAAGCAAACGAACGAGTGATGACTAATGAATGCTCAGGGAGAAAAGTATAAGAACACTCAATCAAGAACGATTGTAATTAAATCCAATACCGAAGCTAAACTTAGCCATTACTACTATATCTAAAAAAGCCGATAGTCAGACGTACTATTATGACTATCACGACTTACCACTTCTTATTATGATTACATAGCTCCACCTGGAGCTCTTCTAGGAATACTGCCGGTCCCGAGCCAAGATAGAGGTTTGGCGATGAGATAAACAGCATTTCACAGAAAACAACCCTGATAAAAACGGGTAATCAGAAAAATTCATTTAAACTATTTAAACTCTGTGAGCTGAAGAATCTTTGTTTAGAAGAGTTATAACGAATCATTGTGAAAGCCAAGATTATTCGGAACTCATGAGGTCGATGGCCATTCTGATAACCAGAACTAATCAATATAGGCACATGGAATGTCCGAACAATGTAGGAGACTGGGAAGACTAGTAAAACAGCCGCAGAAATAAGGAGATACAACCAAGCGGTTCTCGGAATAAGTAAAACCCATCGGAGCCAAACTGGACAGAAAACGCTAGACACAGGAGAGATGTTGCTGCACTCAGGTCGTGAACAAGAAAGTGCTTCACCCACACAAGGATTTATACTGCTGTCCAAAGAAGCATGAAAAGCACTTATAGGACAAGAATCTCATGGATCCAAAATCATAAAAGGAGTGTTCAAAACAAAGGAGGGGCTTACGATGAAAACTGTCCAGTGATATCCACCTACTAATGATAGAAACGAAGACGACAAAGATCAGTTTTATGAGACGCTGCAATCGATCGTAAGTGTCCAGAAAAGGACCTGAACATCATGACAGATGTCTCTCCACTAAAATTAGAAATCAGCATGGCCATTAGACAGATCAAGAGTGGCAAAACAGCAGGACCAAACAGAGTACCAGATGAAGTCAGATACAGAGGTAGCTACAAAACTGACATTTTCCCAGAAGAAAAACTGACATTTTTCCAGAATGATTTTGGAGGAACAACTACTAATGGATTGGAAAGAAGGATACCAGATTAAGATACTAAAGAAAAATCTAAGCAAGTGGGAGAACATCAAAGAAAATACACAACTACCATTTCCAGTGAGTTCCAGACAGAATGCTGCTAAACTAAATAAGACTCCGTAGACGCCTAACTTCGAGACCAATGGGCTGGATTTCTTACAGAGTAACAGTATACGGGACTACAGATCATTGTTGAGTAGTCAAGTGAGTGAAATTTTTCATCATACATCAACTCCCTTGCCTATGAGAAGACGTTTGACAATTTGAATAGGAGAACCTCGTGAAACCTTCTCTAAAACGATGATGTACCTGAGAAGATCATCAAAAACATATGGACTGAATCGCAAAGTTGTGCATGGAGGACAACTGACAGATGCATTCCAAATCAAGACTGGTGTCAGGAAAGGTTGCTCACTTTCGCCCTTTCCCTTCTAGTTGTTGACATGACTATGAAGATCTCCACATCACAGGGGAAGGACAAAATGCAATAAACATCTAGACAATTTGGACTTCGCATATTATCTTCTATTCCACACACACCAACAAGTGCAGATGAAGACAGTCAGTATGGCACCAGCCTCTGCATCAGTAGGCCTCAACATTTACAAGGGGAAAAGCAAGATCCTAAAACACGACACAGCGAGCACCAACCAAGTCACAATGAAAGAGGCGGAAGCATTTACGTACCTGCTCAGCACCATTGATAAACAAGGTGGATATGATGCAGATGTGAAGGCTCGGATTGCCAAAACAAGGGTAGCATTCTTACTATACATCTGGAACTCAAGACAACCGTCACCCAAGACCGAAGTTAGAATTTCTAACACAAGCGTTAAGACAGCTTCACTACACGGAACTGGAACTCGAAGAACTACTACAACGAACATCAACATTAATCGGTTGCGGCAGAGAACAAAATCAGCTTTCAGGTGAAGAGGGGATTAGGAAAACTCTGGATAGGACACACATTGTAAGAATCATCAGACTGCATCACAAGGTAAGCCCTAACTTGGAATCCTCAAGGCGAAAAAACAGTAAAACCAGGAAACACATTGTTCCGGGAATTAGAGCCAGACATCGAAAGAATGAATAGCAGTCTGGAACGACTATGAAGAATGGCTCTGGATGGAGTTTGTTAGAGACTCCCAGTTGGTGGCCTACGCTATATGAGTGGTAACAGGTTAAATAATTATGATTATGTATTTGAACAAGAAGCGTGTACACTTGAAGCAGTGTGTAAATCAGCAGTGATTTTTTTCTCAGTTTGATAACTGAGGTGGATATTTAATCTGAATGAATAAAGGAAAGTGGCCTATATCTATAGCTGGGAGTATATTAGCGCTAACAAGAACTTGACATTTATGGAATATGAAATCAGGAAAATCGACATGTATACCTATAAAAACAAGTGGTGAATTGGATGTGAAGGATGAGTCTAAATCTCGTAAAACAAATACCGTAGGCAGGACAGCTGTTAATTTTATCTACACAGAAATGTAGGTTACCAACAGATATCTGAACTGTTAACCGAAGTTAACGGTGTAGCTAAGGCCTTTTCACATAAAATTAAATAGATATTGGACTTAAATTGAATTATTTCGTACAACCGTTCAGATACCACACTTACACATTCTGTTGATGTAGATGACTGGAGTGGATCTTGAGACATACAGCGATACATTGGGACACCCGAAGCTGTTGGTGATATTAATCGAAGGGCGACATTATTATTCGGAGAAATAGTGTTAGCAAAAGAACTTGATGTTGGAGTGTTGCACGCTTCTTCGCCATCCATTCGCTGCACCAAACGTTGGAGCTCTTGAACCTGGAAAGTAGACGATACAAAATATAAACATAGATCCTAACTTATGAAAATGAAAAGCTGGCTCAACATATCAAATACAGTAAATTAAACCTAGACTGGACTTTGAACAGCATGGCTAATGTAGAAAATTAACTGAAAACATCAGTCATTTGTAATACTCGTTATTAGCATGCGTTCGAACATTTCTCCTGACATTCTTACTTATATTAGGAAGTTGCCGTGAAAGTAATAACGTGGCATGTTTGTTTTCCGTTCGTTATACATGCTGAACGTTAAATATGATGTTAGATGACTTTTATACTTGTAAGTTAAAATAAACTATCTAAAATCCTTCAGTCTAATTCTACCTTGGACTATATGTCATCTAGCGGTAGGTGAAAACAGTTAAGATTAGGATATAACGTGTCCATGGGATTATAAATTTTTATTTTGAGGTGTGCTTTGAGAAGTGTCTCCCTGGTTGACGTACGAGAAATAATTGTTGGAGACTATGTAGAATTGCCCGAAACCGATCATGGTGCATATTTATTCAAAATTTATCTGGCAATTGTTTAGTGTTTGTCATTCAGCTACAACGTAGGTCCAGGCACATATATGCATCGGTTTATGTGTTTATATTAACACATCACAGTACTAAATTACATTCTATTTTGCGTCTTAATCTAGATTTTTGTCATTGTTTTATAATCAGTTGCAAACGTTTCTCCATTCATTGATAATTATTGCTGTTTAGATGTGAAATGAGGCGATATAAACTGAGGGCATCCAAGGTTCATGTGTCTGTCTGTAGTAATAATTGACATCTGTTTGACCCATAAAGCCAGTGACAGACGATGAAGATTGTGTGAAGGACTTAAAATGTACAAATGTATCCGTAGTTAGTATGAATGTACCCACGTTAATCAATCCACGTTACATTCTTTTAGACATATGGTTGGTTTTCTACTGAAGTTTTCGTTGCATTCCTTGGTAGTTGATACCTGTACGTTGATTAGTAAATTAATAGAAACGTAGAAACTACGTAAATGTCTAACCGTTAGTTCTGCTGACATCTACCAATACACCTAAAAAATCGATTTACAATGTTGGTGTGATCATAAAAAAATTATTAGTCCCACGACTTACTCGAGAATCCAACAGGTCGTTCTGACGTTTCAGCGTTTCAACACAAACAGTATGGTCACGATTCAATTTGACCAACTCTTCGATGCACTCAACTGCGCGCTGTAGTATAACTGCCCTAGATGCTTTCGATCCTCGTAAACCCGGGATAACTTCTCGAAGGTCATTATAACTTGTTTTGATGCTTGCACGTCTTTTACGTTCAAGTTGGTTGTGATGATCCCGTCTAAAATTCAACGTAGATTTGGTAATCTAAGATTGTTGAAAACTCAAAGACAGGTACCACACAAGCAATGTTATTTATCAACCTGAGAATGGTTCGTCAAAAGTAACAAACCTTAGTAATAATACATTGAAAACCAAGTAAAAGTTGTGTAATAGATTTACCATATGGAAAATGGTACTTTATAGTGAGGTTTGCAGACCATAAAGAGAAGAACCCATTCTTGGACGGTTAATTTCACGGCAATTTAGGATCTAGTGTAGCCATTAGTACAGACTGAGTTCGAACCTAGTTGTACTGGACTTGATAGCAGATATATCGAAGCACGATAGATCAATTCATTTTTACGAATTTAACGATATACGTAGGGTAAAAATGAAGATAGAAAACTCCAGTCAACAAACACGTTGTGAGATTATGGCTAAGTCTGATATATTACGAGACACCGTGTACGACGTGAACAAGCCATGGCAGCGATTCATTTTAAAATGATAGGATCTTCCTAATCGTTCCATAATACGCTAGACACACGCCAGATATCAACGAGTATCTTATAAGTATGTTTAAAATCAAGATCAGACCGTCATGTAATTACAGAGGTAAAATTAACTATGGTGAGTTATCAGAAAGTAACTTCATTTGACACTCCTACTAGAATACTTATACAAAAACACAAGATTGGTTCTGCAGTGGTATTTTATTAACACCAAGCTCGGTACCAAAACATTGTCATTCATCTTACCTCCTCATTTAAAGGTATGTGCTAAGCCGCTCATTCTAGGAATACTACTTCGCTCGACTAGTTTTTCTCTACCTTGTTGGTGTGAAGAATGCATACTCATCCCAGACCTCGCGACGTATATGACTGATCGTCTTCAAAGTGGTACTTTGAACATTGCTGAACAAACTTTTACTGAGATCAATGGTGATTAATCTTAATCATTCACTGACTAGTTCACATTAGCATACCTTCAATTGTACCTTTTTAACGTCCCAGTATTGTTACTGATAGTAACCGTTTGTAGGGTTTTTCCTCAATTTTTGTAAATGACCATTACCTAGTGCAGCTAATTAGAGAGCACTACAAAACAGTGAACACAATGAGAGATCCGAACGTCTTCCCACGCGCAAAGAAAGCTTTAACGACCATGTATGCAGTAGGATTAAGTTTGTCTCAAGTAAACATAAACATGTTGGAACACTGGGACTCGTGGTATCCAGAATCACTCTTCAGATGTTTAACCTAGATGGCATCAAACGCATTCTTACGACAGTTGTTTTTGTTACTAAGGTGGTTTCTATAGTAACAGAAGTCATGTAATATCCGACTCTGAAACGTACGTTTAAGGAACGTCAGTTTCGACCACCGAGATTTACTGGGGTGAAGTTAAGATAGTACTCAAGTGCAAACTAATCACCAGTTGTCTATAGCTTTTGAGGTAAACGATACTGAAATTTCGGGACCAGAGACGGTACGCAACACTTGGTTTGTATTAGGCTTTATGCATCACTGTGATGAGCACAAATATAATCTAAAACCACCATTCTGTTAGCAGATACCAACAAAGTAATTTGTTCGGAATAATATCAGAAGCCACTCTACACCTAATGGACATCAATACCTACCACATCACATTTAACTCCCAGGACAAGTTCTCGGGTACCCACCTATCCAACCACCACTCTAGATTGAAACTTAGATGAGAAACACATGTTAATTTTTAGAAGAAACCACAAAAGTCATTAGAAAACTTGCCTGTTGTCTTCACCAGCCTCGACACAGTACACAGCACCACCTTCGCTAATAGATCTCTGGCGCCGCAAGTCAGCACTTTTGCCCTCACTTCCAGTATTACCAAAACTGTGGCTTCCGTAGCCAGAGGATCCAGGTATGTCATCTTCATCGTAGTCACTGAGTCCTTCATACCCATCAACATCGTCATCATCCAAGTCTTCGTCATCAACGTCTTCTTCGTAATGCTCTTCATGCATGACTTTCTGAGCGTATGAATTTAGGCATCGAGCCATCACCTTTATTCTCAAACTGCAGGTGCTTGCTGCAAACCTTGGACCATGTTCTTAAGCGGGGCCTTAAGCAAACCACGAGCCGCCAAAGTAAACAAAGCCACTGACTCAAGGTCAGAGTCCATCTTTAGTTCGCATTACTTTGTGTTTGTGAAAGTGATTTCAAACAAAAAACCGAAAATGATGAACCTCGACAGTTTTACAGTCAGACGAATTGACCTGTATAATATGTTTTAATTAACTGGACTAGATAACACACCGCGAAATTAATATAGTAACACAAACGAAAGTGAATATATTCTGAATCAATGTCTAGTAAGTGTGCAAATAGTTCATGTAGGACAATTATGAACTTCAAACCTTGTTGATTGAAAGTAGAAAGAGGCTTCTTCACCGAACTCCGATCCTAGTTAATATGAAATAATTCTCAAGTACGAAAATTTACACCCCGTTTGTTGGTAGTTGAGTGCAGTAGTTGTTAGACGGTACTCAAAGTGATCTACCTCAGTGCTATAGGAACCTTCCTTTGAATAGATGGGAAGATGTTGGCCCCTTACTCACTGTGTAGACTCACCAAAGGGAAGTCCTTTGTAGGCTTCGTTTATTCTACCTCCAGGTAATCTCTTCATATACGTTACTGAGCGACAAAAAGCAATAATACGTTTAAATTAATGGGTTTGTGAAAACCGTGATGAGTCACAATCCTATTCCCTCTAATGCTCCCAGAAGGTAGTGAATGTGACATTAATAGGTACACGTGAACTAGAAGCTTACGTGGATGATATGATTTTCAAGTGGTCAGTTGAAAATGAACTTTCTTGCCTCATGGACTATGCTCTTGATCGACTGGCGAGTAGAGACTCTAACTGCATTTAAAAACTTGAGTCTTTTCGAGTCTTCTAGTAAGTAGTTCGGTTTCTTCTTGGACAAGGACGTATGGCTCCAGATTCAAATGACATGGAAGCTACCCCTATGATCCTGACATTTACCCAGTAAGATCTTTTATAAGAAAAGTTGGCCGCTGAAGTACGTTCCTCACCAAAGTGCAGTGGGCGATATTCCCCTTACTTCTGACGACTAACTGAAGGTAAATCACAAGAGTGTTCAGAAGTACATCAAGTGTGTTCTGGTGAAGTCAACTCAATGCCTAACTGGAATTTTTTTCAACACACGTCTGTAAAGGCTCGAAAATTATTGTAGCGTCTGGTCTGTCCTGTCGTGGAGTTGAAGTAGTGAGATCCCGTGCATCATCTGTCAATATGGGTATCAGACTACTACGTTGAGGATAATTCTACTACCAATCAAACCCACTACCGATTAAACAGATGCTTTCTAGGTTAATTGGAGCTCATCATGCTGGACTGAAGTGGAAGGTAATTTTCGTTATTACGGTTGGTTTAGAAACCAGTTCTAAATTAACAAACATCGTCGAAGGCATTCCGTATGAATAAGGTGACGAAAGAGAACCAACTGCTTAAAACCCAGTCTCACGTAGAATGGGTGGTCTTCGTTGATCAAATTTTAATGGCAACATCCATTTCAGCAGCCAGGCTATCCATTTTGGTCGCTGATTCCCCTCCTATTTTTTTGAATGTGATGTTGTCCTAGAAAGGTTACGGTCAGTAGTATTTCAATAAATGTACGCAGGACATTCAAGAATAAGTCAAATGATATCACTGGGACGAAGACGTTTGCAGTACTTAAACACCCGAAACGAGCATCTATCTGATCCTTGCTTCACATATGTAATAGGACACTGTTGGAGACAGCGGAAATCATAATAGTAGTGTACACACTAACTTTTCTGGACGATATGGTTCAATAACATATCTTCCAGTATTCGTTCCATACAGTAAACAAAGCATTCGACTACATATTCGACAGAAAGATAACTACGAGCTATTTTGTTTTTGCTAAGAAAATAGTTAGTGATACTGCAATTCATTCTACATCCGGCCTTTTTTGAGTTTCATTGTTCTGGATTATTCATGTTCGATCACTGCCGTTTAGTCGTCAGTCGAGGAGAACGATCACACGCTTTGTTGGTACTTTTTTGAAAGGTTTCACATCATCCTAGAGCAGTGGAGATCCAAACAGACTCTAGGATCAAAGGTGTGTCACATGTTTTCATGTAAACATACTGAATATCATGGTGCATTTTTCCGTTAGCTTAATTGTTAGACAAAGCATTTTGGTACATTTTCAACATTTTTAACACATATTCCAGTCACCTCAGTTAATGTAACTCTTTGAAACGTCATTCAATGACAGACATTTCAACAGAATCCTATGATCAACGGAGTCGGACGCTACCTTAAGGTCAAGGAATACAATAGCAGTTGGACGTCCAAAATTATATCTATATCCAGAACCTACTGGGGTGAATATTTGGTCTTTACATTCACATTTACATCTAAACCAGTCTGTTTTCCTCGGGTTTGCTCTTCACGAACCCTAGTTAGGCACTGAAGTACTATTAAGGCTAATATGTTAGACACTACATCAGTTAAACTGATTCTCCCGTGGCTATCACAAGAGGGTTTTTATTCTTTCTTATAAACAGGGACGATCAGAGGTAGAGACCAGTCATGGGGGTTGACGTCCAGTTTCTAGACTTCAGCTAAGATCCCAGCTAATTTAACTGCTAAAACTGGACCACGCCTTTTAAAATCTCAGGGGTTAATTCATCAGGTCCTATCGCTTTAGGCTGCTTATGTCCTTTTCAACTTCACTAAGATTTGAAAGAACTAAATCAGTTTCCCATTCAGACTGCTTGGAGATAGTGATTAACTGAAGAGTGGCTCAAGGTCAGTTGAACTGTTCCCTAAACTGTCCTGCTTATCGGCTCAATCTCCTAGATCGAGAGCCGATAACAGTCCCGGCTCTTTCGAGATAGTTCCACTAGCATCTGGATTCCCAACACACATTTCCTTGGTAGGTCTGAACGGTTTTCTATTGTTACTTATAGCCGTTGTCTTCTCCACATATGTATTCGCTACCCAACATTGTTCACGATCGTTGCGCAGGCTTCTTATCAGCGTATGATTAAGCTCCGTCAGTTCTTCATCTTGTTCAGAGCCAGATGAGATAGATTTCTGAGTATCTATCTGTAGAAGTCCACTGGTGTTTCTAAGTTTTAGATTTGCGTTACTCACAGATGTCAGCGTTTTGTAGATATATCAAGTTACCTCGGGATGGATATCGCTTATCTGGTTGACTAACTGCTCCTCTATTTTTTCATGAGATGTGATTTCGCCTTTTTTATTAGGAAGTTCGACAAGTATTCAATGGATAAGTGTAGTTATACAAACCATAAATTACATACAGAGGTGAAGAAATTAGGACAATAAATGCCGTTAATCTTGGCCATTTACTCAACAGAGGACACAAAAATAAAGAACTGTATCAAATACTAAACAATCCGGATGTGGTTTTTTCTAAACAACAGAAGCCACATTAATTCTCCTTAATAACCCTCATTGTTATCAGTCAGTCGGCTACAACGTAGAACCAGGCACATATATGCATCACTCCAAGTTGCCATACCTCATTAGCACAAGAAGTAGAAAACCGGATTCATAGAAGTAATTAATTCAATGATGGTAATATATAAAAGAAAGATTGCGCATAAGGATATAGTACAGGAAGAAAGAATTAGTTGACAGAAAGAAAGACATGAAACGTTTTTAATCTCTTAGTTTAAGGGAGGACAGAGAGTGTATACACCGACGCCATTGTGATCGATTCTGAGCCATGTCACCCAGAGTCTCCAACCATTGGTTACCATAGTCACACAGACCACAAACAAATAGTCTTCATCTACCAGCATGGCTCAGACAAGAAGTTAGTGACTTCAAGTGCTGATGCCAAGTTTTGGTTTGGCTGCCCCTAACATTCCTCCAACCGTCTCCAACATTAGTCAGTATTGCTCGTCGTGGCAATCAGAGTTCAGACATACGTAACACATGACCCAACCATCTCAGCCAATGAAGATTCACAACCTCATCAACTGATTTGCCATCATTCCCTAATACCCTACGTCTAACCTCAATATTACTTACCTGGTGATCCCAGCAGATGCGAGCAATATTTCTAAGGCATCTGTGGTCAAATACTAGTAGGTTGCGAGTATCTTGAGGTTGCAGATATTATGATGAACTAGTCAAAGAAGAATATTTCTTAACTTAGGTTGTCTTTTAAAATGTGTAAATAGGAGAATTCGGTTTACTGAAGTCATCCAGTTGATTTGAATGTGTAATAATCATGTACACACCAGTACCTGGATGAACTTCTTACTAACATAATATTATAAAGTTTCCGATTAGTCTCCAACCGATCTGATCTAAAAATTGTGGATGTCGAATTTTAATTTAGTAGGTGGGTGGCGTTAAGTTCACTTTGATGTCAGAAGATCTTGAGTTCAATCCCACTCCGATCAATAGGTGTATGCGTCTGAATCTCAAGTTGGTACAAACAATCCATTCTACGGTTCCCCAATGGATGCCAGGTTGTGGGAAAAACGTGTTCAGATGTAGACATACTAAAGTGGGAACCAAATATTTCCTGATGTAGAGATAGCAAACAGCTGCAGTTACTCCATTTCCATCTGTTAATGAAGTAAAACACTGAAAATCAAAGCCATGAAACAATGAACAAAATAATTTCAAGCGATATCTTTCCCTAAATATTTGTTATAAAAGACCAAAATTATGTGACTTGTGTAACCTACTGTTAACATCGATGTGAGTTTACTTCTATAACTCAGTGCCAGAACGTAAGTGTTTGTACACTTAATATAATAATTTTCAAAGAAATAAAAGAACGATCTTCCAGGCCCAAGTTTCATAAAGGGAGAGCATGCAAATGATGTCATATCTTTTATTTTGAGAACAACCTCGACCTGTAAGACTCGTAGATCATCAACGATCTCTGTCGAATGATTTGGGGCCTACTCGAGTTAGACGGGAATGGTGTGACCACCTAGCAGTCGGCATCTAACGTGG